TGCGGGTGCTGCTGCCTCAGGTCGACGAAAGCTTGACAATGCCTGATGGACGGATGAGGAGCCGAATCGTTTACATCCTCATGCGGGTTCGGGGTTACGGCCTAGCATTTCTTGAGAGTTCCTCTGACGAAGCATGATGTAACCTATAAACTACCCTTACCCCAAACCCCATAATGGATAAGCAACCCCAACCGCCAGACACGAAGGGCTCATGGTTAATCAGTGGCTTTTTGTGCCCAAAGACCCATACTCCACAGGGCTATTGGGCTTTTTTGAGCCTTGCATCCTTTCATGTCGACCGTCTTGACATAGCTGCGGAACACGCCAAGCCGAAGCTTGACCCGGGCTTCTCCTAGCGCTTGGCCGATGATGTTGGTGCCGGAGTGATGCAGCATCGCTGAGCCTTGTAACCAATCCCAAGTAGACCCAAACCCCAAAGCCTTCCCAAAGGGTCCAAGTCATGGTATAGTATATATACTTTTGGGACCTAAATACCTACTATAACGGTACTTGGACACTAGGGGTTGTAAAGACTTCCACCAAGGCATACCCGCAACTCCCCTCCGCGGCGTTTCCGAAGCGTGGGACCCCTTCCAATCCCGTGCTGTGCGAAGCTCAGCCTTAGGGAGGTTTGACATGGTTCCTCCGTTGACGTTGTTGCGCTTGAGTGGTTCTCAAGAATAGACTTCAAGCTCTCCCTAAGAAACAATAGTTGCTTCGGGGATTCCTTATTGTCGTTTCCTTCTTCTGATGTCATATAAAGGTAGCGGTTTTGGGGGGGTTCAGGTAGCCTTTAAGCCCCAAGCCATCCAGTGTCGCTTTCGGTTGAGGCTTGGGTAGGACATGCGCAAGAAGCCCCAACGACTCGAAGCAAATCGAGAACGATTTCAAGACAGGCCATATAATAGTTCAGTATTACCGAGACCCTCCATCTACCCTCCATGAGACCCTAAGTACCCAGTAATGCCCATTAATTCTTTGGGATCACATACGACTATTTGAAGGTACAAGGATCGGGGTTTTGTTGAAGCCAAATCCTGTTCTGTGTGAGACGAGCTGTTCGTCTGAGCTCCGTCCATCTCAAGTCTCAAATTGGGGGTTTCCGAAAATTAGGGGTACCTTTGAAAGGGATCCTTAAAGGGCTCCTTAAAGGGATCTATAAGGGTTCTATAAAGGGTTAAGGGTTTAGGGCCAGGGTTTAAAGTTTCCGAAAACTAGGGGTACCTTATTCTGGGGTCCTTGTAATAAGGATCCTACTATTTGGGGCACTTATTGGGGTCCTATTCTACGGAAACTCCCAATTCATGCCAGCCCGCTAAACCTGACTCATCCTCAGACCCAAACCTCCGAATCTCAATCCGGGACTCACCCCACTAAGTTCCATACAGGTAGTGACAATCAATGAATGTCCAAGTAGTGCCTCAAAATCTAAGCCCAGTAATGTAAGAGCCTGCTTAAGAAACCCTGGGCCCATAACCCCAAAATACGAGGCTTCATGGCCCAAGGTTTCTTAATCAGGTTCCTACATTAAGCCCTAAACCCTGAAACCTAAACCCTTATAGATCCCTTTAAGGATCCCTTTTCTTAATCAGGTTCCTACATTAGACTAGCGATCGGATTCTCGCACAAGGTATGACACCAACGGTGCTTTCTCCTTCAGCCCAGCTCTTAGTGGAGGTTACGTTTCTAAGTTGGGTCCTGGGTTTTAGGACGAGGTTTTCGGGTCTAGGGTTTGCGTTCAGGCTCGTGGATTACTGTACGGGTCCATGTACCTAAATAGCATATACATTGGCCTTAAAGTAGTCCCTATATAGGTACTTTGGGCCCAAAGTATATACTATTTGGGATACATGGACCCTTAGGCTTAAATTCGGTGCTTTCCGGCTGCTGCGGTTCGATCACTTGCCCTGACAGCCGGAAGCTCCTTTCCTTTCAGATTTTATTTGGGATTATATAGGTGGTCGGGTTTAGGGGTTTAGGGCTTAGGGGTTTAGGGTTTAGGGCTATGGCCTAAGGGTCCAAGTACCAGCTACTAAGTAGGTGTTTGGGCCCCAAAAGTATACACTATACTATTACTTGGACCCTTTGGGTAAGTGAGCTTTTGACATTTTGACTGTTCTTCAGCCCGTGCCAACCAACAACTTCTGCTGCGAAAGCTGATTTCGAAAACTCAAGCCACACAAAATCTCTCAAGCCGCTGCAGCCGCCCATGTCGTGGAACGCTAAACCCTAAGCCCTAAACCCTGGCACTGAATGGCCAACCCCTCCAAACGCAAAACCGTCTGATCACCCAAGAAGCCTGGTGTTTCGACGATCATCCCTAACAAAGCGCTATACTGGGCGTTGGAGTACCATACTTGAATACTTTTCCGTAAAGGAACCATTATGAAGTAAAAGTTCTATATGTTTCCTCCCTGGTTACTTAAAGGCCCAGGATAAGGTAGAAGTCCGAATAATACCGAGCGCCTCTTCCATACGGTTTCTTTCGTTCCTTATTGATAGCTATACCCAAAGGGTCCATGTACCCAAGTAGTATAATATACTTTGGGCCCAAAGTACCTATATAGGGATTACTTTAAGGCCAATGTACATACTACTTAGGTACATGGACCCGTAGGGATACGAGACAATGCACCGAAACGCTGTTCTGCGTATTAATGTCCATATCGGAGTTTCCGAAAACAGGGGACCCCAATCTAGTATCCTAAAAAGGACCCCAAAATAAGGTACCCCTAGTTGTCGGAAACCTTAAACCCTTAACCCTTAAAGAACCCTTATAGATCCCTTTAAGGAACCCTTTAAGGATCCCTCTTAAAGGTACCCCTAATTTTCGGAGACTCCCACATTCAGGGGCCAGGCCCTCAATGGGGAGCCTGGGCCCGGAACTTCAGCAGAAACCCCAAACTGCCAACACCCAGGAACCCGAAGACTGAGCCTGAAGCTCGAGGGTTTAGAGTTCGAGGGTTTAGAGTTCGAGGGTTTAGAGTTTGAGGGTTTGGGGTTTGAGGGTTTGAGGGTTTAGGGTTCGAGGGTTAGGGTATAGGGCTTGAAGCTAGAATCTACAGCTTTTAATTTATACATTAAATTCCGCACCCCCCCCCCCTCAGTGCAGCAGTAAACAATGCCAAGGCTCCTATGGACCTGGCTTTGCCAAGGGCCAAGATAGTCTTGGGCAGTAACAGGTCTCTGCCGATTGACGACGGTTTGTTTGGTTCTTTTCAAGTTTAAAGTCAAACCTTAAACCCTAACCCTAAATTCGGCCCTAAACCCTAGTCCCTTAGGCCCTAAACTACGGGACCATGGGCTTTGGAAGTGTGCTACTTGGGCTGTTTCGCTGCTATGGCCGCTGAATGACTGAGAGTAGTGAGCCTTGGGGCTCTGGGCTCGCGGGTTCTTGGGCTTAGGGTTTAGGGTTTAGGGTGGTTTAGGGTTTAGGGTTTAGGGTGGTTTAGGGTGGTTTAGGGTTTAGGGTGCAGGAATCAAAATGAGGGTCTCCTTTGTCCCTTTTAGGTACCTCGCCCCCGTAAACCTTAAACCCGAGACGGGCTCCGGGTTCTTCTCCTTTTGCGGTCCCCCTCCACAAGGACCATCACGTTGACAACTGCCCAGAGCGGCTCCCGTGCTAGCCTAGTTTGAGAGCCGAAGTTGCCTTTGCGGGTGTGTCTCACAGGGTTTAGAGTTCAGAGTTTCAGGGTTTGGGGGTGCAAGTATAATCGGTTTTAGCTGCAGAATCACCAAGTAAAGGTCCTGTAGGTATTGGTTGCAGAATCACTACCGCTCTCACGTGGCTGGAGTTTGCTGATGCTTTTTGTAGGACCACGCGGCTCTTGTTTCGGGCCACACGTAGATACGGAAGCCCGAGACCCATAGTCGGTGCCACGATATACCGTACGTCAAGACATCAAGACCCAAAGGCCCCAAAGGTAGCTTTTGAGTAGAAATGAAAGTCGGGTTTCAATAACAGGAACTACAATTTTTTTGGTGTGGGTAAGCATCCCCCATATAGATACTTGGGACCCTTGGGGAGACACGATCGTCCAAGCGTCAGCCGAAGCATCCGTTCCTTGCACGGTACTTGGAGGATCATGGGACTTAGTAAGCAAGGTTATGAGTCCCTTAATTGGAGCTATAATTATAAGTAATGTTGACTATAGTTACCTTATATGCAACCCTAATTACCAACTCCCGTAATCCTCTAAGTAAGGGCGCATACAGCCGCCTGCCGCTGCCGCCGGCCACAACGTCGCCGGCACCAGCCACCTCCCCCCATCCTGCCATTGCTTCTCATGTTTGGGATTCGAAGTTAGCTTCAAAGTTGCATGATACCAATGCTCCACACAGGTCGACTGGAATGTAATTATTGTATGCGTCAGAAGTCTGTCAGCACTAAATGGAGAACTCCTTTCCCTTTTGCTGTCTGGTGGCTCGTGACAGCTGAAATCTCGATCATGATCGGCTGCACGCAGAACCTGGCCTACAAGCACCGATGCCGTCAGCCCCATACATGCTTTCCCAAACTCACTGGGTGGTTGTATAAATTGTGGCCCCTTCTTGGGTACCCTAAATATTTATTAATATTAGGTGCCGTATTACTTTAGGGACCCCAAAAGGGACCCTAATTTTGACAACCACCCCCAATGTTTCACACCAAGCCTATCCTCAAAGCTTGAGCCATCGAGTGCTTTCATGTTGGGTGTTCGGGCAGACATGAAGTTGGCAGATTGGACTTGTATATATATATATATATATACACACATATTTGAATATCTGCATGTATCTATGTATGCATGTGTGTATGTATGTATACACGCGCACCTACACAGGCCGACACAACACTCTAAACTCTCAACACCCTACGCTCCACTCCAAGACAGATGCCCTAATCTCTCAAACCCGAAGCCGCCATCAAATCCTGAACCCTGCAACCCCAACAACGTTGTCCTTGCTGACCATGGGCGGCGTTGGCTGGTGCGAGCTTGATGCGTTGATTTGCGCCTAGAATGCTGCCAGGCCATCCCTTTCACGAGTCTTACCACATCCCAAGCACCATTCGAACAGGTTTGGCTTCCGACGTAGAGCTTCAATTAATTTACCATTGCCAATACTATGGTGGGGGTCCTTACTATACTTATAGTATAGAGGGCCCCAACACCCTTTTCTAATTATTAAAGCCCCTACATTCTGCCAGGCCAAGTAAGCTCCTACTCAGCCTTATTGTAGTCTGATACTGGAAGTCCGGCCTACCAAACTAGACTCTGAAACCTAATATAGGGGCCTGAATAATTACCTACACGATTTTAGGGGGGGGGGGTTCTTTATTGAGATTATAGCACACTGGGCCCCTAAACCTTATTCTAATTATTAAGGGTCCTGCCTATAATACTGTCCAAGCTGTTGTGAGGAAAGAACACCTACATGCTCATCAATGTTGTGTTTCCCGTAGTTTAGGATGCGAGTTTGCCTTAAACTTGAATGCGTTGACCACTCAAGCCATCGTGTAGTCGTTTTTGGGGTACACCTGTTGCTTATAGGTGGTCGACGCGAGTGGGGCAAGGAAGGGGAGGATCATGGACAGGGGCAGGTGCGGCAATACGACAAAGTAACTGAGCGATGCAAGGTCGTCTAATCTATAGTCTACATTACTGGATCATTTACAGTTTCTCGCCCCAGCGTAATGTCACGGGAATTAAAGAAGCAGAAACACACGTTCAAGGACCCAACGTTATGAGGACGATCGTGGCCAGCAAGAAACCAAGATGATTCATCATGATTGCAAATTCGGAGCATCTGTTTGGGCTTACAGCGGTAACCCCAACCACTAAACCCTAAATCATAGCAGCAGCCCTGTGACCCCAAACCCTACAAAATAGTAGGCTATGACCCCTTACTTAGAGGGTAGAGCCCTCAAGCTTGTCGACTTGCAGGCACCGTTGGCTCAGCACAAGACGCCCTTGAGTCTGCCAAGGATCTTCGGAAACCGCTGGCCGGGGGGGATGGGGGGGGCTATGCATTCAGGGGCTCATTTACCCAAAGGGTCCAAAGTACCCATATAGTAGATTGTAGGGTTTCTATATAAGGAAGTACTATTATGAGTTAGGGAACTATTCCCCATAACAATACATAGGACCCTTTTGGTTAGAAATATCGTTTGAAGGGTTGATAGCAGTCGAGGATTCTGCGAAGCTAGCACGCAAGAAGGGAGACATGCTTACCTAAGCAGCCATGTGTGGTGCGTATATCGCATAAACTTGCCGAGCAGTCATGTCGTGACCCAACTATGTGGTGCGATCTCTTCCCCATCGGAAGTCTACCGCACACGCAGTCTTGTAATTCTTGGCATCTGCACAAACATGGTCATTTCAATTCCCAAGGCAAAAACTGTTGATCTGCTGCATCATGTCTTGCTTGGAATGTGCTGGGTTTTGCACAGCCGCCCCGTAGACTGTGCCCCTGATCCTTTCCACAGTCAGCTGTTGCCAGCATGGGCGCCGTGGAGTCTACGTGCCAACATCGCAGCATCGGCGCTTGCCCCAAGGCGGATGAAGGTGTTCCCGGTGCAGCTCGCAAGGACACTGGTAGCACAGACGCTCCCTCAGACAGCTTGGACTCTCCAGCTACACCCATGCCTTCGACACCCCCTCAAAGAAGCACGGCAGTCCTTCCGGCACGGTTGAGGTGGTGCCAGCAGGTACGCATTCAACAGGGACCGCGCCCGGGCACCTGTCAGGAACCCCAGCTGCACCGATGCCCCAGACATCCCCTCAAGGGATCATGGGAGCACCTTCCGGCACGATGCCGCTTTATGCGATGATGCATGACGGAAGGATGGTTGAATTACGGCAAGGAGGTACACCTTCTGCAACAGGGGCCGCGCCCGGGCAGTCATCAGCAACCGCGCAAGGGTCACGACACAGAGTCGCCATCAACGAGATGACCATCATAGCCCGCCTGTTCAACGAGTGCTTCGAATGCCTGTCACACCTTTTCAGCATAGGAAAGGCGTTGAAGAAGAGTGATTGCTTCGATGGCTTGCCAAGCCACGGGGCCTTCGACAACTCTGTGATGCAGGCTGGTGATGAGCTTAAGGAAGCCTGGGAGTCCGTGGAGGCCCGTATGCAGGAGGAGTTTGATGACGTGGAAGGTTTGATCGATCGCGTGTTCGATTTCGACGACCGCGCGTAAGATCTCAATGACACGCAATTATATGTGAGCTAAAAAGCTTCAGTACACTATGATTGTCTAGGGCGACATGGTTCGCAGTTTCGGACGCCCGTCGGCAGTAGAAAGTTATTCTGTCGCACCAAGTTTCCGCACACGGTCCCTGCTGCGAAGGAGGGAGGCACCGCGAGGGTGCACAGATAGCCGAAAAAAAGTCTTTACTTGGATAGCTCTGCTTTGTTCGAGAAAAGGTGTGCGCAGAGCCTGCAGGCATGCACAGTGAGATGACATTCGTGTAGCCATAGTTGAGGGTCTATGGGTTTGCACTGAAGGGTTGCAGACTCTGATAATCCTGGAATCCTCAGCCGCATGTGCGTAAACACTGTGAGTTGCTGTTAGTGCTCCTTGCGAATGGGCCTCACCGGATATGACCCTCAAGGTCTCAGTACCGAATAATCATATAACATAGGGGCCTTAAAATTACCTATAATATTTTGGGGTTCTTGTTATAGTTTTAGTATAATGGGCCCCAAAACCCTATTCTAATTAAGGTCCCTATTTAACTCTCCTACGTACTAACCAACCTATATGTTCTGTTACCGAGCACTAGATTACTACGTCCTTTATACCCCCAGCCCCCAGCCCTCTTACCCTAAGCTGTAAGACACCCTTATAGGACCGAACAGATTCCCTGAACTCCAAACCCTATAACCGAATTGTTGTGCCCTTTGGGCCTTGCGGTTATCGAGCCATGCTGGTGTGAAGAGGCGCAGCGGCACCATCTTTTCAGGTTAAGCCCCGAACCCTTAGACCCTAAATGCCTGAAATGCCTTAAACCCTGAAGCTCAAAAGGCTTATATATCCTGATAATTAAGCCCACGCCTATACCCCTACAGGCGAAAGCCCTAAACCCCCAAAGCCGCAAAGCCCTAAACCCCTAAAGCCTTGAAGATCTGGACTCCTAAAACCGTAAAACCCCTAAAGCCTGAAAGCCATAAAGAGCCCTAAAACCCCGACCTCGGAGGAGGATGAGCTCGAGCAGCTGCTGTGGCGAGTGGCCCGCGGGCAGGTCTCCATCTCCGCGGCGGTAGGCCGCTTACCGGGACGGTTGTGAAGGGTTTACAGTGCGTTACGGTCAGGGTTCATTTTTTCGGATTTGGGTTTGAGCTTGGGGGGTTGGGTGTAGTAAGTTGTAGGGTTAGGGTGTAGCTGGCTTTCGCCTTGTGAAGATTTGTGCCGGTCGTATCGTGAGTCTGACAGTAGTCCCTAGCAATTAGCAGCCCTAGAGTTGTAAACTCTAAACAGTATAGGTCTGCTTGTGTTGGTTGTGTCGAACCACATTCTCGAGCCGCAAGGCTTATGGAACGCCACTTGGAACGCCGAAGGCCTGAATTCCCCTTGATTTTTAGCAGCATGCCTCCGCACTCTTTGCACCCCAGCATCTCAGAATCAAGAATAGAGCGCACAAATTACCACAGATCTCGGAATAGCGTTTCAGGAAAGCCACACCCCAAACAGCACCAAGCCTTCAGGAATGCCTCCCAAACCCCATACCCTACATTCTTCACCCTCAACATCCCTGAACCCTATACCCAACACCCCATACCCTAAACCCTATACTCTACCCCCCTCTCTAAACCCTATACCCATCTATACCCTACATCCTTTGGTTTCAACATCCCTGAAGCCTAGATTCCCTATATATACCCTAAACCCTAAACCCATCGGTACCCTAAACCCTAAACCCTAAACCCCTAAACCCTAAACCCCTAAACCCTAAACCCTAAACCCCTAAACCCTAAACCCTAAATTCAACATCCCTAAGCCCTAAACCCTAAACCCTAAACCCTAAACCCTAAGCCCTAAATTCAACACCCCTAAGCCCTAAACCCCAAGCTCTCCGCCCTATCCGCAGACTTTCTCGAGACTGAGCCCGAGCAAGACTTGGCGGAAAAGCGCGGTGCCCGGCGCTGGAGCCATCAGGCGGGTTTAAGGGGCTTTGGGTTTAAGTCAGGTTTAGGGTTTAGGGGTTTAGGGGTTTAGGGTTTAGGGGTTTAGGGTTTAGGGGGTCTTTGGGTTTAAGGGGTTTAGGGTTCCAGGGTTTAGGTGTATAAGAATGTATAGGGTTGTATGGTTTAGGGGTTCTGGGCTGTACAAGGAATAAACCCCCCAAAGTAGGTAGAACAATGGCCCAATACCCACAAAAGGCAATTATTCTACATACTTTGGGGGTCCAGGTAGGGTTCTAGGGTTTAGGTCTATAGGGTTGCATGGTTTAGGGGTATAGGGCTGTACAAGGAGTAAATGGGGGGCTCGTTTGGGGGGAGGGTGCGGGGTTGAGGAATTGGGAGTCTTGTTTTCGTGTTTATTTGGGCTTGCTCGAATGTCTTGGCTGCGGGCTTTGACTGTAGATATCTGGCTTCAGGCAGAGGAACCTCCGGAGTAGTGCTCGCAAGGTCGCAGTATTCTGATGATTCTGATGCCGATGGAGTAGACAAGCTCTGTTGATAGATCCTGAGGCTCCACACCTTACGCATTACATCAACACTAGGAGTGTTTCGGAGAACCCTGAATTCTACTGGCAGCCCTCAGCACGGGGACAGATAGGCAACAGGGAGGCAGAGACAGGTAAAGTGGCAAAATAAGAGCGATCGACGGAGCTAGATGCGGAGACATACATAAAGACAGCAAGCAAACCTACATTCACACCTGTCTAGCTGCATACCAAGAACGGCTGAATATTCGTCAGAGGCTGAGCTGCGGAGGCAGAGTGCTGTGCAAGGGCTTATGTTTCGGAACAGTTTAGGAGACAGCTGGGAAGCTTCAGTGCTTTGATGCAGTCCTTTGTGGTTACTGGCTGGTGGGACTTAGTAACTATTAGGGTTACAATTAGGGCAACTATACTTATAACCCGAATTAAGGTACTTGTAACCTTGCTTACTAAGTCCCACGATCCTCCAAGTAGGTAGTGCCCCGCTCAAGTCTCCGAGCTCTTGTTCGACAGCTGTCGCGCAGACCCGGGCGCTGGCGAAGCCGACGCCGACAACCTTGGCTCCGGCACATGCGATACAGCGGAGCAAGGCTGGGTGGACGTGCTTCAGGGATGGTTTGGGTTTACATTACAGGTTCAGGGCTGAGGGCTTAGGCTTGAAGGGAGATCTTTTAAGTGCAGGGGACGGCAAAGGTTTAATTACCTTGAAAAAACGATCAGGGTGTGTTGTTCAAAGGTCAGCACTTGCCCAAAGGGTCCTGACCTGCATGTGGAGTCCTCGATGGCACTGTGCTTATGGCTCTAGTAGGCCTCAACCCTCCGCCGGAAACCTGCAGCCCACAGTTCGGGTAAGGCGAACAGGGTAGAACTCTTCTGGATTCACTGTTTCGATGGCTCGACCCTGTAAACCATAATATACATATATATATATATATATATATATATGTATGTATATGTATATGTATATGTATATGTATATATATATATATATACAGATACACACGCCTCTCCTACATCCTACACGGGGCCGTCGACCCCCCTGTTTTCCAGGCCCCGCAGTGCGCCCAGGTTGTGGTCGAGGCCTATGAGGACGGATAGATTTGGATCCCTGAGACTCCATGCACCCATATACGGTTGATGATATAAATCCTGCATTACCTTATGGACCCTAATCTGTGGGAATTATGGTATATTCCTTGGTATGGGTAATGCAGGATTTATATCATCAGCCGTAGTAGGTACTTAGGCCTTCAAGGGGTCTCTATAAGTTTAAGGCCTAACTACCTACTATATGGGTACATGGAGCCTTTAGTTATGAATGTGCTTTTAGGTGCGTAGCCCTATGCTTCCAAGGACCTTATAGTCAGGGGCCTAGGCCCCTAAATCTAAAGGACCAACTATAAGGTCCCTGGAAGCATGGGGTGAACAAGTAGGTTTAGGTATGTAGCTATGTATGCATGAATGTTCCAACCTGCGGCAGGAGAACGATCCTCTTTGCGCAGGCTGCAGGGTTCGAGATCATCAGCTGAAGGCCTTTCTGCACGAAATGCGGGGAGCAAGGGCTTGGTTTACAGTAGCCCGAACCCAGATCCCTGAAAGCTCTTTCCGAGATTGTCATGCCATTTCTGACTTGAGGATCAGCGGCATAAGGGTGCTTAGAGTAGGTCGGGCCGATCTCTGTCTGAAGATCTTGCAAAAGTCCGGCAGATGAATGGCAGTTATCCAACAAGAAGAGACCCGAGCTGCTTGTCGCCGTCAGTGATCACCCAGTGTTCTATACCGCCTCAGTCCTGAACTTGCCTCAGGATGTGATCATACTGTTGATGGACAAAATCCTGCAATGACCCTAAGGACTCTAAACTATGGGAACTACGGTATTTTCCTTGTAATGGGTAATGCAGGATTGTGTCCATCAGCAGTATCAAGCGAACTCCCGAAGCCCACATACACCGCAAAATCGAAGCCTCGGCAACAAGTTGTTCGAACCCGAATCCAATACTCGGGCCTGAATAATTCGTAAACGCGTCCTCGTATAGTCCATAAGAATTTCGCCCATATACAAAAGGTGCACTGTGCTTTAGATCCCCCAAGCGGTCCAAGGCACTTGCCAAAGCTCTGCAGGGCTTAGCGAATGCCGCGCTGTCTCTCGGCTGCAGTGAACTGAGAGGTTTCGCTCGTGGGCTCCGATAGGCAACAGCGATCATCTATAATTAGGTTTGAGGGTTTTGGGTTTAGGGTATTTGTTTTCGGGACTTGAGGTTTAGGATTACTTTAACTTTATTAAATGGTTTTTCGAGGTTTCATGATTCAGCAGGGTCTGGGATTTAGGGCTAGTTTTATTTATCGTGATGAACAGCGGGAGGCTCCCTCGGGGCAGATAAGGTTTCGGCTTGGGGCGAACGCTGGGAAGAAGGATGGTCTGCCCTTTACGGTTCCTATGCAATTCTGGGACAATGTACCCGAATACCCCAGTCTGAGTCTTGAGGCCCCCAAAAAGGCTGGGAACAAGGTTCTTAGGGGTACTTAGAAATATTCTTTTAATTTTTGGTTAATATAATCCCTAAGAAACAGCTAAAATTATAATTGTTGCTAGGGTTCTAAGTTCAGTATAGGGTTCCTTTCTAGAATTTCGGCCATAGGGACTGTGGTGCAAGCAGCTTGAGAAATTGTGAGCTGACACTCCTCGACGACTCACCTGACTCACCAGCCAAACGCTGTTGTGTGACTTCCCTTCATGGTCATTCGGGCGGTAAGCGTCTTCGGCGGGTCTGTTGCCCCACCCTAAACCCTAGAAACCTTGTGAGCCCAAGCCATCTGCATACTCAGCCCGCACCCCGCCACCCGAGACTTCGAATGCCTGGCAACCCAAAACCCGAAACCCTAACCCTAAGGCTCAAAATGGCCCAAAAGCCTTATATAATATGAATATGGTCTTTAGGCCGAGAAGCCTCGAAATATCAGTCCTTAGAGCCTTAGGTTAAAGGAAGCTTTAGATCCAAAACTCTCGGCCGCTGTAGACTTTGACATCTTCAACGAGGTAGCGTTTAGAATGCGATCACTTGCACCCCTGTTCTTCGGTGGATGATATAAATCCTGCATTACCTTAATGGCCCTGGACTATGGGAATTATGGTATATTCCTTATTCTGGGTAATGCAGGATTTATATCAGCAACCGTTGCAGTGAGTGGAACACTCCCATAGAACATTCATATAGACCCACACTCCGAACCGAAAACCAGAAGATGTCCGACCCCGAGCCGTAAGCCCAAACACCACACCCCAACAACGTTCAAGGGAGAAGCCTTCTCCGAGAAGGATTGCAGCAATAATAATATTCGTAATAGTAATAGAAGTAGAATCATCGGAATAGTAGTACAGAAAATAATCCATAATAGTATTAATAATTTATAGCAGTATAATCATAGTAATCATAGTACAGAAAATAATCCATCTAAGCGGTGCGAAGGAGCTTGTCCGGGCTTTCGCTCCCAAAGCAGGCGGAACAAAAGGGGGTAGTGTAGGAACCTGATTAAGGAACCCTGGGCCCTAAGCCGCAAAACAGCAGGATTCATATTATAAGGAACCCTAACAAATAAACGCCCAAGGTTTCTTAACCAGGTTCTTGCATTATGTGTGTGAGCTCTGTTTTGTGAGGGTTTTCACAGAAACCAGGCGCTGAGGAATCTTGGTGGCCTACAAGAACTAGGTGGCAATTTGGGATTTTTTTAAATTTCCTTTATGGTTCCTATAGAGTTACCTATTCATAAATATTTTTCGGAGCCCCAAAAGAGAAGTAGAGGCAACCAACTCGTCTTGGCTCAAGTCGTTATTGGGCTTCAGGGGCTGTATGACCTCACGTGCCACTTTGGACGACATACTTGAGGCTTCAGGGTTTTGGCTTCAGGGGTACTTCGATGCCCGCTTCATGGGATTTTGTGCGACTGAAGTCTCGTGTACAACCACTGTTATGTAGAGAGGCCATTGCAAAGATACAGCTGCAGCCGGCGTTTCCATGAGGGATGCCGGGTCCCAGATGGATTCCTTTTACGCCGTTGTGGATACACTTTGCGCAATCCTCACTTTACCCAAATGGTAATAATTAGGTCACGAACCATCTAATATATAACCCAGCAACCCATCATTTAGGTAATTGGAACCCTATCGCGACAGATTGTGACATCTGTTCTTCCGCTTTAGGGCTAAATACGTGCCACTTTGCTGCCTGATTCAGGAGCTGGCGCGGCTGGTCCTCGACCACTGCAGTCCCTGCAGTCACCTTGAAGTGGGCATCGGTGGCTCGGCATTGCTTTGGCATGCGTTCGCGGACCATGGAAGGGAATGCAGGCAGCATGATATCTGTTGCACATGTTACAGCACGGCTATGCAGTGCCAGCTTGAGCATTGAGTTGAGCTTTTTCAGGTGTGGGTGGTGGCATTTTCGTTTGATTCCAGCCTTTGTGCATCCACGGTGCTAAACGAAACCCTAGTAGTCCAAAGCGCAACCAGACCTGTAGTGCTGGGTACCCATAGGCCCCCTATAGTAGTTTCTTTTTGGGGTTCATATTTAGAATCCTATAAGGTAATCCCAAAAAGGAACTATGGGGCCTATGGATATTTTCAGGCCTTGACACTTGACCTGGTACTGATGAGGAAAGAGGCTTTCCTCGCAATCGATGCGATTTGCAATACACGACACGAAGCCAGGTCACTTTTTGTCCCAAGTACCCTGCAACAGACTCGAGTCAAGGACTAAGCACGGAGCTGGAAACCTCAAATCCTGAACCCTAGCCCACTCAGGGACGCTGTGCGCGTCGCTTCATGCAGCGGTGAAGGACATCTATGAGCTCTTGAGGGTTCAAGCCTTCAGTGCAGGATACCGAACCATCATTGAAACCAGGGGGCCAAACCTTTCATCAATGGGAACTGCTGCAGCAGTGTGGTAAGGACGAAACGACAGCAGCAGAGCTCCGGAGACTATTTGTTTATATCAGCTAGGGCAGGGTTTAGATTCCACCGTAGGCTGAGGATCGAGGGGGTTGATGTTTCGTGGGCTTGCAATCCCTGGCTTCTCCTAAATTGCACCTTCGGTGGTGCCAGGACAGAAGCCCCGAGCCCTATAACCCGAAGCTGCACATGCATACAATCGACTCGTTCGGCTTGTTGCATCATCTCTTTGGCAGGACAGCCAACGGCAGGAACCAAAGGAGTGGGCCTCAGCCATGTCTTTGCGCGTCTCGGTTCTTTGCCTTTTTGCTGCTGTTTAGGGTCGCGACGTTCTGCCCATATGCTCCATTGCGTTTCCGTTTTATGGGTTATATTTAGGATCCTATACGGTAGTCCCAAAAAGTAATAATACTATGGAGCCTCTGGGTAGGCATTGGGTTTAGGGTCAGGCCTTACCTTGAGACATATCCCAGCATTAGGAAAAAGAGAATCCGGGAGAAGTTGAATTAAGTGATCTGACGATTTGTCTGCGTTCGGGTTAATTATTCCAGCATTTCGCGAAACCACCGTAAGCCTTAAACCCTATACCCCGTTTCTCGGGGTATCCTTGATTTTGTTCACCCTGTTGGCCTGGAACTTGCGGTTGCGGCCCTACTCGACCCCGAAACTCAACCTAACGTGCCAGAACTAGCGAAACATACTGACTACTTTGGGCTATCGACCGAGCCTAAATCCTATATTTTTTGATAGCTTCTAAGGCGGCAAGCTCCTCATCAAGGGCCCCCTAGATGTGCCCTGAGCCTGCGAAGATGCAGGTGTTCTCCGAAGCCTTGCCACCGTCGAAGGTCACCCCTTTGCTACCTGGCTGCAAGGGGAACAGAGAGGCGTCGATACTGGGTCTCCAAGGGTTTCAAACTGCATATGGTTCTTTAAGGGCCTCATACAGTAAGGGGCTTATAGAGGTTTAAACAGATGAGAAAGACTATTTCTTAGAGGAGCTCTCGAAGCAAAATGCAAAAAATGGTATGTCCCGAAACCCCATGCAGGCCCGATAGTCCCTAGGGATGACTTGGGCAAACTCCGTGCTGCATGCCCAGGCGCGATCCCTCCCCGATCGCTGCTGCGGAGCGGGATATCGGTGCCGGAAGGGTTTGAACTTGAGCCTGAGATATCGCAAGCTCGAAGTGTTCTGTCCAGGTCACTCTACTGTATGTGGGTGGTTGTCAAAATTATGGTCCATTTTGGGGTACCCGGTACCCTAAATAATAGGTGCCGTATTATATTAGGGACCCAAGAAGGGACTATAATTTTGACAACCACTTATGTATTTTCTTCAGTGAGCCCGCAATTGCACCGCAGTCTTGAGGCCACTGTATTTTGCAAGGCTTAAACCTCCAGAGCCTCGCGTCCTAAGCCCCCGCAAAACCCTGAGCCCTATGAGCCCCAAGCCTTAAACCCTAAACCTATAAATAAGCCCTATAAACCCTTGCCCTAAACCCTAAATAAACCCTTGCCTTACACCCTAAATAAACCCTAATAAAGCCCTAAACCCTAAAACTCTAAATACACCCCAAGCCCGAAGCTCTGAATCTGCCTCGCAGGTGCTCTGTCTCCGACTCGATTCCCACGGGCCCGACCGGTTGCGCCATATCAGGACCCAGACCCAAGGGAGGATCTAGCAAGTAGATCCCCTAATTTGGGGCCCTATACTACTTAGGGTACTTTATAGGAGCCCCCATTAAGGGATCTACTTTTTGGATCCTTCCGGGGGTCTGGGCACATCCGTGGAGGGGACCTATGGGGGTTTAGTAGGGATTAGGGTTCCCATAATCGGGTTCATATTAAGGAATCCCTACCCCAAGAATCTTAAATCCTTTTCCGAGGCTCAGTCTTTAAGCACTCTGGAAGAGAAGCCGGAGTGTAGTATAGAGGCCTAATTAATTACCAATACTATTTTGGTGATTCCTTGTTAATGATGGTAGTATAACGGGCCCTAAATCACATTTTAATTATTAAGGCCTCTATTTCAGTATAGCATCCTACAATAATTGGAATAGGGTTTGCGGGAGGGGTATATCATGTAGTGACTAAGCCGGGTATAACAGGTGTCAGACCCCTGAATTCACGGACGGGATGGGGCTTGGTGCTTTGACGAGGGATTGGGCTGGCATGGTGGGTTTTAAGCGTGCGGTTTAGAGCATGGGGTCGACGGTTGCTGAATCATGAGTTCAAGAGCTGCAAACAGGACGCTGACCGCGTGCAGTTTCACGATCTGCAGGCCAGATTCGGCAAGGGCTTCGGGACATTTTAAGGCTCTTAAGTCTTGCGGTTTACGGGATTTGACAGGAGTTTATAGTTTGTTGTTACTTTCGGTTGTGCTGTCTTGGCCCCTGAACTCTAAACCTTGAGCCCTGCGAACCTTAAACTCCAAGCCTGAATTACCTTATTAAAATCAAATGACATGTTTTGGTGTTCTGTGTTATTGTTTTTTGTGGTCCTTGTTATGATTTCAGTCTAGAATTCCTTACACGGGTAGGTTATTTGGGCTTAAGGTGAATCCTATAAACCCTATAAGCTCTAAACTTCTAAACCTTTACTACACTCTGATTTTCAAATTTCCTCGACTAGAATCCCAAACCCCCAAAAACTCTAAACTCTTGTGCCAAACTGGAAACATCCCCCGAATCCCAAATCTCGAAGGCCAAATCCAAACTGCCCAGCCGTCCTATAGTCCTGTAGGGGCCTTAATAACCTTAATACTTACAATAATTACAAGTACTATTTTGGTGGTCCCTTATTATATTTATAGTCTAATGAGCCCCAAAACCTATTCCAAATAGTAAGGCTCCTACATTGCCCGACATCAACTCTCGCCAGTGGGCCAGGTCTCGGGAGTCGAGGTGGAGGCCGGGGTTAGTGAGATTTAGGGCTTTGGGGTTGTAAGTTTTTGGGTTTAGTGAGGTTTAGGTTTAGTAGGGATCTTAGTAACTTACGACTTTAGGTTTTGGGGTTTGGGGGGTGTAGGATTTTGGGTACGGTTTAAATGAGGTTTGGGGCTTAGGATTTGGCTTCATGTTTTTGTTATAAGGTTTAGGGCTTTACACTGCTCATAGGTTTCAGGGTTTACAGGATACCGGTACTTGGAGTTGTAGTCACGGCATGACTGCTATCTGTTTTCGAACGGTCGGCTGCTATCACCAATGTTGTGGTCATGGGCTTCTTCGTCTTAGCCTCCATGGCTCCCGGCGGCGTCCGGGCTTCGATTAAAGAAGAATAGAGGCAGTGTTTCTGGATATCGGTTTCAGTTTCGATGGCTGCTGTGGAGCTTAAGGTTGATGCAAGGGGGTTGAGGGTTCAGGGCTTGGGGATTATAGGGTTTAGGGTTTAGGGATTTTAGGGCTTAGGGTTTAGGGTTCAGGGTTCAAAGAGGTGGCCTAGAGCTTCAGGGTCGGAGCATCCCACCGTGACTTCTTCTTCTTCTTCCCAGCAGGTGTTGGGCAAGCCCCTGCGCTCTTTGAAAGCCGGAAGAACGCGTATCAAAGTACAAAAGCCCACAAAGTTGCAAAACCGTACAAAATTCATACACCCTATAAAGCCTCATGAATCCTAAACAACTATTCTAGACTCCGAGACTCCGACATAGACCTCCGAGTCGCGAAGGTGCAGCGGTCGCCGAACTCGACGCCGGCGGCGCTGCTTCGGATGCCGGAGCTCTCGCCGCAGCCCAGGCGGACTCTTCGGGTTCCTTTTGCGGTTCCTTTAAGGCCACTCTGAGGGTTTCGGGTTTTGGGGTTTGGGGTTTAGGGGCTTAGGGTTTAAGTCTATAGGGTCTGTTGTTTAGGGGGGTTTCGGGTTCCTTTCGCGGTTCCTTTCAGGGTACTCGTAACCCTTTAGGGTTTAGGGTTTAGGGTGGGCATTTGGGGGTTTCTGGTTCCTTTCATGGTTCCTTTAAGGCTACTCGAAGGGTTTCGGGTTTTGCTTTAGGGTTCAGGGACCTTTACTAGGATACTCTAAGGGCTTCTGGTTTCGTGGATTTAGGGGTTTCGGGTTCCTTTCACGGTGCCTTTCAGTCTTATGGTGTTTTACACTTTCGGGATTGTGGTGTTGAGGGATGGGCAAGGCTTTCGGATTTGGGGTTCACGGTTTAGGGCTAAGGCACGCAGGGTTTTGGTTTAGCTTTGGGATTGTCTGGTTTTGTTGCGAAATTTTCAATTCGTCTTCCAAGAGATTGCGAGAACAAAATGGTGAGGTAAATGAGCCGCCGAAGGCCCTACCCTAACAATCCAGGGGACCCAATAATCTGGTACTCGGGTTTAGGATAGTAGTTATGCAGGTTACTATTTTGGAGAGTGTATGTTACTTGGACCCGTAGGGTCACCATATTTTGAGATCTTGGCAAACCAATCAGTTTCACCAACTATACAGCCTGTCTTGCCTCTTTCCGTGTGTGCATACTTTTGGCTTTGTGAGGGTTTAGGGTTTGAATCAGTAGGACCTGGCCTGGTCTTCATGTTTAAATCCGACATTTGCTGCATCCAAGTCTCGCTACCTCAGAACCTAAGCCCCTAAACTTCCCGAACTGGGATCTCTAGCACGTAGCGAACCTGCGGGGTGCAAAGGAAGCGCTTAAGCAAATCCCTATATCTCAATCCTACATCCTAAACATTCCTAAGCCCTACACCCTGAACCATTACCCCTCAGCACTAAGCCCTTCACCCTCAGTCCTACAGTCAAGAAAGAATCTCTAAACCCTTCCCTGCAACAGCACGGTTCAAGTCGCTAAGTCCATTCTTTTTGTCCACTGAACCGTAAGACCTTGACCTCCACGCAGCAAGACGCTGGAAGCCCAGTTATCTATTGTAGAAGGCTACTTAGAGCGAATCCCTTCGGCTTATATGTACAATGTATGTATAGTGCTATGTTATGTCATGTTATATTATGTTCTGTTAGGTATACCATGTTATGTTATGCTGTATTATGTTATGTTATGTATGTGTTAATCAACGATAGGACCCTGGGTTCGGGCAGATCCTTCATCGTGTGAGGCCCTCACCTCCACGTTCGCGTCGTCGTGCTGCGAGTCCCTACGAGCTCGCGTGGCTGGGCTTACCCTCAACCCTACGCCCCACTTGGGGGAAGGGTTTAGGGTTCAGGCTTTAGGGTTCTGATAAGCGACCTATGGGGTTTAGGGTTGATACTCTAAGCCCTAAACCCTGAGGCTCCAAACCCTGGGACCCAAACCCTGATCCCTCAAGCCTAAACCCTTAGGGCGTGAGGATTCAAATCCTTGGCGCTTTAGGGTTCAGGGTTTCGGTCAATTAGGGTGGGGCCCGACAGAAAATTGAAGCACCTACTACTACTACTACGACGACGACGACGACTACTACTACTACCACTACTCTACCACTACCACTACCACTACCACTACCACTACCACTACCACTGCCACTACCACTACCACTACCACTACTACTACTACTACTACTACTACTACTACTACTACTACTACTACTACTACTACTACTACTACTACTACTATACTACTACTACTACTACTACTACTACTACTACTACTACTACTACTACTACTACTACTACTACTACTACTACTACTACTACTACTACTATAATACTACTACTACTACTACTACTACTACTACTACTACTACTACTACTACTACTACTACTACTACTACTACTACTACTACTACTACTACTAATACGACTACTACTACTACTACTACTACTACTACTACTACTACTACTACTACTACTACTACTACTACTACTGCTGCCTACTACTACTACTACTACTACTACTACTACTACTACTACTACTACTACTACTACTACTACTTGCCCAAGTCCTGCAGGACTGCGATAAATCCTATCCTGACACAATTATATAATACATACTGTATACCTTCCAACCTCCAGACCCTCACCTTTTATTCCCTTCAGAGCACGGCCAAGGAAGCCGCCCGAAACATGAGCCCCTAAACTCACGATCCTGAACTGCCCCAAACCCCTCCTCAACCCCTGATGTCAACCCCTGCACCTGAAGGCCCTGAACCCTGAGCCCTCCACCCCCAGAGACAAAGACCTCGAAACTACAAAAGAAGCGTTCAAGCCCAAAAAAGCCCTAAACCCCGCGAAACCCTAAGCTACCGACAAAAACTTAAACCACCGGAAAGCCCCAAAAGCCGCACTTTCCGAGGACTCGCGGCCCCCATCGGGCTGAGCCGGATCGGACATTGGAGGTGGCCAGACTTTGGAGGGTCTAGGGTTTAGGGTTTAGGGGTGGGTTCGGGGACACTAGGTCGTTTTGGGGGGGGCTTTAAGGGCTTTTGAGGGTTTAGGGATTTCGGGAATGGGTTCGGGACGTTAGGTCTGTTACGGTTCAGGGTTTAGGGGTTCAGTTGGGGTTTAGGGGTGGGGCCAATAACCGAGTATGTTGAGGGTTGTAGTGCGTTGTTTTAAGGAGTCACCACCTACGATTCTGTAGAGTTCGGGGCTTCTGGTCGATCTTCGATTCTAGCTTCAAAACCCTATAAACCCTAAACCCTAAACGCTAAACCGTTTTTGATTGTGAAAGATGGTGAGTTTGAAGGCATTTGAAGGTTTGGGTTTCAGTTTTCGGCACTGGGGTTTCTCAGGGTTGCTGCAGGGTTCAGGTGTTTGGGACGCTGTCTTTTGGCTTTGAACCTGTGTTACAGCCAGGTGTGGTCCACAGATGTGAGCAGATAGGAGCCCCACTAGTACTGATTTGTGGTTGTATTGTTTTGCCGGTTGTGATTTACAATGCACCCCAAAACCATCGCCGAAGATTCAATCCCACAAGTGCATTTCCCGTTTCAGCTTGCTTGCGGGATGTGCCGATATACATCAGAACATTGACCCTATGCTTCCCAGCACCTTATAGTTATGGCCCTAGACTCCGAACCCAAAAGAGCACCCTCCTGGGCCACAACGAACCCACAACCTCCTGGGTCCTTTAGGAAAGCCTAACATATCAACCCTTGTGGAACCCTCAAAGAACCCCTCTTGAAACCCTGCTTCCCCGAAGGATGCTGCGGGAGCCTGGGTTCAGAGGAGTGCCCCGAAACCAACGCAACGCCTGGGCCTCAGCTGTGGTCCTATGGCTGGTCTGGGTGTCTGGGTGTGGTTTTGTGTGTGCACGCGTGCGCAACGCAAATGCAGCTGCTATCGTCTCCCGTCCAAAACAGTGGATGATGAAAGAGCAGGCGCATCATGAATCTTCATTGCTACTTGCTGTGATTCCCACAACCCTAATTAAACCCCTAATCCCGAAATCCTAAACTCCTAAACCCTCAAACCCTAAACCCCTAAACCCTAAATCCTAAAAACCCCAAACCCTCAAACCCTAAATCCCCTAGAAGCCTGATGGCAGGAGCCGACATGCTCTTCGATCTGCCGCAGCCCTTCGAAGCTCCCCCGCTTTTGCCAAAGCCGCCATTCGCCCTCTCAGATCTGGGGTGAAACTGGGTTTACGTAAAGGGGCTAAAGGAAAGTTTGGGCTTTGGGTTTTGGTATGTGGATCTGGGGTTGAACTGGGGTTAACGTGGGGGTTAAGTTTAGGAAAGTTTAGGGTTTGTGGGGTTTTGGTTTTCGGATCTGGGGTTAAACTGGGGGTTGGAAGGGTGTTTAGGAAAGTGTTGGGTTTGTGGGGTATGGGGTTTCGGATCTGGGGTTAAACTGCATTGGCATTAAAGGGGGGCGTTTTTCGGAAGGTTTAGGGTTTTGGATCTGAAGTTAAACTGGGTGTTCAAAGGGGTTCAGGAAAGTTTAGGCTTTTGGATCTAGGGCTAAGGGAGTTTTAAGGGCGGAGGGGGGGGGGGGGTCGAGAGGAGCTTATGATTTAGGGTTTAAATTTTTTGGGGTTACGGGGGGGTAAGTTCTTTGATTGGTTCGATCAGGAGGGTTACCAGACGGGTCTAGCTAGGATTCGTTAGGATGATATAAGTTGTCAACCATTGGGTGTGCCTTCCAGGGCTTGGGGTTCCACTACAAACGGGTCTATTTGGGGTAGGTAGGGCTTGCCTGGGCCTTGCAGAAGCCACAGTGAAGGGTCTCTAAACCCGAAACCCTAAACCCTAAACCCGGAGCGAAAGGAGAAAAAGAGGCGCTTAAAACAAAAACGGAGCGAAAAGCGTCCGGATGAAGAAAACGTTAAACCCGTCCGCAGCACTGCAGGCAAGGACGTGCGAGCCCACACCAAGCACCGCACGAGGCGATGGCAGCGAAAGCTCTGAGGCGCGGCCGTGAAATAGCATAAAACCTTCCTTTGTCACAGTTAGGTAACATGTTAGATTTTTATGGGTACTTGACCCCAATAAGGAATAAAACTGTACATTTTTAATCCTACCCCAACAATGAACTAGCTTCAGGGGTCCAAGTGCTCAAGGTTTTCGATACCGTTTTGGGGCTTGAAACCCTTTGGGCGGTTGTCACTTGGACCCTCAGTGAACACGAGCTCAAGAAGCAGCGGGGTAGTGACAGCAGTAGAAGTAGATGTTATCATCTTCTTTATTGTCTCCTTGGTAGCACTTCCCATCGCTGAGTTCTTCGCATCTCGTAGAGGTCACTCGTACGGAGGCTGCAGGATTCGGAAAACTCGGGGTCAGAATCCATGTATGTGTTTTAGAGGTCGTGGTGACCATGGTGCTTCAGTTCGCCAAGAGCTTAATCCCTTAAACCCTAAATCCTGAAAGTACAGTATTAGGGGTGTAGGGTTAGGGGTTTAGGCGTTTAAGGGTTTAGGGTTTAGGGGTGACCTCAAGAGTATGTAGAATAATGGCCTTTTATAGGTTTTGCGCCATTAGTTTATCCTACTTTTGGATAGTTTAGGTACTGCCCCCACTCAGTAACAGCTGAATAATAACTATTCGTAATATAGGTATTAATTGTAGCCCTGTTATAGACGGTTACTGTGTGGGGGCAGTACCAAATACTATAGTTCCACTTTCAATCAGGAGATGGAGTCACACCAGGCGAAAAGCTGAGACATCTACTAGTCTACACGGTTTAAAAGGGAACTTAAACCTAATCCCAATCTCACCCATCAGTCAACCTGTCTCCTAGCTTTTGCGCCCAAGTCAGGCACCAAACCCTAAACTCGATACCCTAAACTTAAGTCAGGCACCAAACCTTAAACCCTATACCCTACACCCTAAATCCAAGCCAGGCACCCAAAAACCTAAACCTTGAACCCTAAACCCTATAGACCCCAAGCCAGGCACCAAGCCGAAGAGCCGCTGCCTGCTGCGGCGCCTGTGGCAGAGGCTCCGTTTCCTCTAAAGGGGTTACTATAAGGGATACTATAAGGGTACCATCGTGCAGGGGCCTTCATAATTAGACTGGGGCTGGGGTTTGGGGTAATTATACTATGCTGTATTAAAATACCCCCCAAAACCCAATTCGAATCATAAAGGCCCCTTCATGAAGGTTCAGGGTTTAGGGCTTTGGGGCTTTGGGGTTCAGGGCCCCCGGGCCGCTAGACTATCCCCGAAGAGCAGTAATTGAGTCCTGCAGGGTTAAGGTTTAGGGGTTTGGGGTTTAGTGTTCTGAACTGGGGGTTTAGGGGGTTAGGCTTTAAGATGGGCCCAGATCTCGAGTGTTTCGTCTTCACGAATCTGACATGGTGATCTCCGCCCCTGCGCTGGAAACGTTCTCAAATCAGACATCCCAAAGGCTCTCGAAGCGACATGGTACCAGTTTGTATCCACACTTTAAGAAGAGTATTCCAGAATACGCTAGCTGTCCCACAGAAGCCCTTTAGTTGAGTACACCCTCTCTCCAAAATGATCCCTGAAATCCGAAACCACTCGAGGCATTACCCAGAGGCCCCAAAGTGGTTCCTTTTGGGGATTACTCTGGGTTCTATATACGAACCCCAAAAAGGAACTACTTTGGGGCCTTTGGGTAGACCGTTCACCTTAAATCCTGGCCTAAACCCCAGGTGCCTGTACCGCTAAACGTGGCGGGGTCACAATCAGATGTCGCCTTGGCAGCTGACCGGTTGCATGTAAAGGGATTTGGGAGTTTCCGAAAATTATTGGGAGTACCTTATTTGGGGGGGTCCTTATAATAAGGATCCTACTATTTAGGGTACTAGATTAGGGGCCCCTAGTTTCGGACACCCCCATTTGATAATGTTTAGGGCTTAGGCTTTGGGGTTTCAGATGGTTTTGGGGTATATCGTGCACCGACCAAGGACCCGAGCCCTAGCCCTAGATGCAGCAAGCCCCAAACTCTGAAGCCGAAACCTTTCATCGGAATGGGTGACTGGTTCTTTGTTTCATTGGGCTTAAGCTCGACTGTGGGTTTGGCGCATAGCTGCAAGAGCTGAGTTGTGAGCTCAGATACAGAGCCCGTAGGATTTAGGACTTGGGGTTCACAGCGAGGAGATTCGTTACAAAGGGCTTGTGAGTTTGGGCCTGAGTGCGGGCATGACGTACCGATTTAGAGTGAGGGTGTTTAGTGGAACACGGGGAGGTCCGCTGGAGGTAGAAGGACAGTATTCCTACAGTCTCCATTGCAGCTCCTATTTGCAAATTCCCAGATGGGAGTTAGTACAAAATTCGTTAAGCCAGAAAAGAAACTACAATGGAGACTGTTGGTAAATTCAATGATGACGATGTGGACCCTGAACTTATTTGGACCCCTATCTCAGAGAAAGGCTTCCTGGAGCGGCTTTGAATCATTCCACTAAGGCAGGGTCCATATACCTATAAGGGTTCATCCTTTAAGGGTGCCATGAGTACCCAAGAAGTATGTAGATTGTCCTATAGGTACTTTATAGAGTCAAGGAACTTATACTATTTGGGTACATGGACCCTTAGGGTTTAGCAGCTTTGCAGATGACCGGAAGAAGTTGAAAGGGAAATTGTAGAGGGCTGTCGAAGGCAACGTCTTGAGCTCGATGGCCCTCAGAAGTCTTCCTGGGAAGTTTGGACCAGCAGCACAAACCCGAAACCCCAAGTTAGGCAGATCCATCCGAAATCAGAACTTCGCAACCCGAGCCTTCCAGACACCAAAATCTAGTTCCTTCTGTGGTTGCCCTAGGTTAATGTTCTTATAGGGTCCTTACCATGAAGTATGCCATCAAAGCATATCATTACGATCTAGGGTCCAGGTTGCCCCCATAGACCACCCGAAGCCCTGAGCCAAGGATCACAGCATTCCGACACCGCTTCCTGTAGCCAACGGAAGCGAAGCTGAAGAGTCAGCCTCTGGGATGCACTTATAATGGCTTAGGGCATACCTGAACCCCGATGAACCTTAGCCGCTTAAGGACGTATACAAAGAAGTTACAGTAAGGATCCCGAAATTTTAGGTTTCTTGAGGCCCAGGTAGGGCTTAGGGTTTAAGCGTAGGGGTTGTAGGCCCCTCGGTTAAGGGATTGGGGGCCCCTGAGGTTGAGAAGGCCTCAATTGAGGTGTTCAAACGGTGGATGTTGATCCAAAGTGTTATAGGGTGTAGGCTCTAGGGTATTATCCGATACGGTACTACGAGGTCATGAGGCGGTTGATTTGACAGGAATCTTGTAGGGCGAGGTGAATGAGGACAGAGGCTTGTCTAGTTCGGGTGTTTCTGTGGAATACCCTGGGCATACCCGAGCGGCCATTGCACCGAATCTGCAGGTGGCAGTGGCACCCAACAAGCTGGACACCGATGCTTCCGGTGCTGCCACTGATCCGAAACCTTCGCATCCTAAACCTTTTGCCCGTATGCTTTTCTCGAACCCGTTCTGCCCCTAGAGTCTTAGAGTATAGCCACATTGCATACAGCAGCAAAAACCCATGTCAACCCCATCAGGTCCGCCTAAAGCCCTGCACCAGCCTAAGACAAACGTTAGTCCCCTCGCACGCTGTAGAGAAGTAGTTTGTGCTCCCCTCAACCCGGCCAGACAGTGGGTGCCATCAGCTGGTTTGGTCTTGGAAGTTGTGGTCGGGGCGGTGTTGAAGCAGATGTGCTTTTGTAAATCCTTGGCAGGCACCCTTTTTGCGAGGTTCTAGGTGTCTTAGGTGTCTTCGCACGACCTACAGTAGCAGTCTTTTGCACGTAATCGCTGTTATATCCGTAGTCCAGAGCATGACCAGAAGCATTGCCAACATCAGCATCCTCATCACTATCGTAGCGACCATCATGGCCTTAGCATCGTAATCTGCCTTAGCATGTCACTGCTTGTTGCTCATTAGCTACCAAGCCGCATTGCGTTTTAGCATTGTTGTTATTGCTGCGTCTGCGGCTGCTTTTGCTAGTTCCCTAGCATAGCTGGTATGAGCATGTTTGTATTTTACGAAAACACGATCTCGAGCCATCATGCTGTAGCAATTTGTCGATTCTTCGCGGGTGTGTATACGCGCATTAACTCGTGTATGTGTACATAATACTATCCAAGCCGACGCTTGAAGACTTCGACCTAAGGATCGCAGTGCTCCGGCACCCAAAGCTACGACCCTTGTTAGTGCAGACGAAGAGGCAAGGACACGAAAAACACACACACACACCCATGCGCAGGGACACACACACACACACACCCACAGACACATGCACAATAGCGGTTTTGCATGCATAGAGAAGTACACCTCTTTGTGATTTTCCTGTGTGACACCCCAAGGCAAGGCGCGCATGTATGCGTATGCATGCTTACACGGGTGCGGTGCACGTGCATGCATAGCTGTACAGAGACGTGCTTCCCAGAAGCGTGCATCACTGTATGTCTCGTCATAGGTGTCGTGAAAGTAGCTGTAGAAATGGCAATGATGTCTGGAGCCACCCTGAAACTTGTTGAATCCCTTGTGTAGTTTCCTTGAATCCGTCGAGGCGTGAGCATGATCATGACGTTGGGGCGTCGCTGGTTGTGAAACATGTCACGTACAATTTATTGCCGCATCAGTCTTCAGTTGTGTTTTGCGGTGTCACAGTCGCAGGGTGCCATGGCATGATCAATTTCGACTATCTTATTACGGAAAATCGGAATTCGCCAGCTCTTTGAGCGGTTGCCAGTAGTTGATGCCGACAGGGCCCAACAAGAATGTATATTAATCTATATATATATATATATGGAGACAAGCAAAGCATCTGATAGCTGCAAGGTTGATGCCTGTTTCACTGTCTGTGTTGGCGGATAAGCGGTTTCAACAGTTTCAGCTTATTTCGGAAACGTTCCGCGAAAAGCTTTCCCGAAGCCGGACGCAGGGTGCCCATCCGGCCTCACATCCGCAGCCGGCAGCACGAAAGACCGTCAGCTCCTGGAATGCAAGACGGCATCTTACTGTGGAAGTGCTTGCTCGAACTCAATGAGCTGTGCTGACCAAGGAGAAATGGGTGCTCCTCAAAGGAAGAGCGAAGCCTTCTTGTGAGAATCCGTCATCAAGCTGTCACACCGTGTCTAGTATCGGGGCTCTCGTTACAACAGGAAAGGGTTGTCGGTCATCTTCGACGGTTCGATCAGGCTGACTCTGACTAGTCTAGCCTTAAGAATAAGCCTACACCCAGAGCACCCCCAAACTCCTAAACCCTAAACCCCTAGCCTCTAAATCCTAAAGCCTGACCCCTACCCTATCAAAAGCCCCCTTTACAAAAAAACTCTCGAAGAAAGTCTGAGGCTTGGGCGATCTTCCAGAGACTCACCGCAGCGCCGATGGCCAAGCACCGCAGAAGATGGAGAGGTTGGAGCCTCCTAACCCAAAGGGTCCAAGTAATAGCGTAGATATTTGTTCAGTTGAAACCTACATAGTATATGGCGCGCTTTGTAGGGTTCTTTAGAGGGTTCACAAGGGCTTTATATAGAGGCCTGAATAATCGTGCTAGCAGCTGCACCGATCGACGGGCAGGATGCTAGACCGAGAAGTTTGCAACACCCTAAACCCTCAACCCCTAAACCCCAAGCCCTAAACCCCTCAACCCCAAGCCCTAAACCCTGCACCCTTAAACCCTAAACCCTAGACCCTTAAACCCTAAACCCTCCTAAAGCCCTTAAACCCTTAAGCCGCCTGCAGGCAGAACGCGCGGAGCCTCTCCGTGTTCGCCAGCCTTCCTGGGTACACCAAGGAGCCCTAGAATGGCCTTTAAGATGCTTTAAATATAGGGGTTTTGTTTTTTGGATTTAGGGTTTGGGGTTTCAGGGTTTAGGTTTTAGGGTGTGGTGCACCAAGGAGCTGCGGCATGGCTTTAAGTAGGATGCTCTAAGTATAGGGGTTTGGTTTTCGGATTTAGGGTTTAGGGGTTTAGGGTTTAGGGTGTAAGTAAAAGGGTTTAGGGTTTAGGGTGGTGCGCCAAGGAGCTGCGGCATGGCTTTAAGCACAGGGGCCGGCATCAATACGGTTGATGTTATAAATCCTGCATCACCTTAAGGACCCTAAACTGTGGGAACTATGGTATATTCCTTAATATGGGGAGTGCAGGATTTATATCATCAACCGTAGTTTAGGGGTTAGGGTTTAGGGTTTAGGAGTCGGCATCATCAGTAATAGTTTGTGGGTTTAGAGTTTAGGGGTTAGGGTGTAGTATAGGGCTTGATAATAGTCCCTTAACGGATGCCCTTCATGGCTCTTAAAAGGGATATAGGGTTGGGGGTATAGGGGTCGGATCAGTCAGTAAACGTAACAGTATCCCCTTAAAGGGTTCCTTTCATAATGGCTTCTTTAATTTAGTAATGGTAGTTTGCCGCATCGTCCTTGGTATAATAGGTAGGTTACACTTATATACCTCAAAACCCAGCTCCAACTACGAAGGCCTTTATGTTGGTGGCTTGAATACGATTTAGGGTCGAGGCATCTGGTGTCAGAATTCTGTTGTTTAGTTAGCAAGTTGCAAGGGATCAAGGACCGTATGGCTTCCGGGCGGATGGCTTTACTGCTGAAGCCCATAGGTTTAGGTTTGTGCTCCTTTTGCGGCTTCCTAAACCCTGAACCCTAAACCGTGCTAGGGAGACTTTTCGGACATCTGAGTCAGGAGAGCTGATGCTCAGACATCCTGAGTCCTCAGAAACCTCCTCCATGGGGGCTTCCGAAAATGGGGGACCCTAATATAGTACCCTAATTTGTAGGATCCCTATTGGAAGGACCCCAAAATGAGGTGCGCCTAATTTTCGGAAACTCCTTCACAAATCTCTAAAACCCATAAGCACCCATTGCAAACCCTTCCACCTCTCAAACCCTCAGCCCCTAAACTAAAGTCTACATGTAGGATCATGGGACTTATAGTAAGTAAGGTTATAAGTACCTCTGATTACTAAGTCCCACGATCCTCTCAGTAGACCCTAAACCCTATGCCCTGTAGATCCCTTTGAGGAGCCCTTACTACCTGGAACCCTATAACCATGAATCCGAATCCTTTAAAGCCGAGTAGGAGTTTGCATCCTGCGCCGGGCTGGAGATGTCACCAGAAGAGCTGGCTGCTCATACCTCTCCATCTGCAGGCACGTGGGTAGTTGTCAAAATTATGATTTCTTTTTGGGTACCCCAAATAATAGGTGCCGTATTATAATAATGGGGCTTAAAAAGGAACCCTAATTTTGACAACCACCCATGTGGTTGAGGGAGCTTTGGGAGGGCCGTTGTAAGTGAAGAGGAGCTCTTGGAGGATCCCCCCAAGGGAGCCCTTAAGGGCCCAGTCCAGGGATTCATCAGCTGCTCAACTATGCAAGCTTTCAGGGTTCTGCTATAACTAGGAGTTCTTTCAGGGTTTCCCTTTCTTTCAGGGTCCCTTTGAGATCCTTTGAGGGTTGGATTAATGGATGCGGTAGGGTTTGGGGTGTCGAGCTTGAGGGTTCAGGGTTCAGTGTTCAAAACGGTTTAGGGTTCAGGATTCAGGCTGTGCGGTATGAAGTGAGTGATGTAGGAGCATTTATACTTAGTATCACTGTTTAGGGTTCTTATCATAGAGATAGGAAAGCACATCCGCAAGGCCTTTAATGACAAAGGCCCCCACACCTTAGGGTTGGATGTTGCCAGTATGTTTACCGACGTCTGGTTTTGTGTTTGCAAGGATTGGAGGAGGAGTCACAGTTGCCACCCGAAGCGTGGCATTAGTTTTCAGTGGTCCAACAGGCCTCTTTTTGAGAACATGATTATTAAAGGCTTGAGTTCCAGGATCGTCGTCGGAGGTAGCACTAGCTGCAACCACTAGGACGTGGGTCGCAACAAGAGCTGCACCTACGACAACTGCATCTCCTGATCCCACTCCTATTACGACAGCTGCTGCTACTAGTACTTGTACGAGTACCGTACTAGTGCTGGTACAAGTACTTGGATCTTGAAAGGAAGCTTATCGTCGTCCACATAACCGATTCCCTACTAAGAACCGGGGTAAACCCGAAACCCTACAACCTACAACCCTTAGTACGATCAGCTGTGCAACCCTTCAAACCCAAAGCTCCAAAGCCCTGGGTGTGTGTTGTTTGAACGTTGTAAACCCAACGTCCTACATGACGAGAGTTTGTTTGGGCGGTTTAGGGGTTTAAGGTTTAGGGTGGGATGTGCGAGAGGTGGTGTTGGGCTGAAAGGCAAGGGCGAAGCGACTCGCAAGGCTGCGCTTGGAGTGGGGGATTCGGGTGTAGTATAAATTACGGTTTAGGGTTCAGGGTTTAGGGTTAAAGGCAGCAGGTAGTTTAACTTGAGAGAAGGTTCCTTACTTGGAGGGTCGGGGGACTTAGTAACTGGTTATTTCAGGGACTTATAAGTACCATAACCCCAATTAGGGTCCCTTTTAGGGTACTTTTATTCTACTTACTACCTACTTACTAAGTCCCCCGACCCTCCAAGTAGGGTGCTTTGCCGTGGATCTATAGGCGGTTAGAGTTTATGATGTGCATGAATATTAGTTTCAGTCTTTTCCATCGTATTCGTATTGCTATCATCACGGGTCTCAAGAATTAACCGCAGTACTCCTCTTTCATAATTGGGGCTGGTGGGGTCCCACGGGTTCTTCCGAACATCTGTTGGTGGTTTGTGTTTGAGGTTTCAGTTCAATGGTGTTCTGAAGCAGCGATGCGGATTTCGTCGGGGGCTTTGATTTCGGCTGTGTCTGTCTGCTGTCGGCGGTAGGGTGAGCGGCTTTCACACGGTTTTCGATAGCAAACTTCGACGGAACAACCCGGGCCAAGCTCACCAATGCGGTATCCGAGGGCTCTTGAATTCCAGTAAGTTAAAGGGATCTTGAGGTTTTAGGGCCGTTTCGGGTCCATTCAATACCCCCTAAGTGGCGAGGTTTCGAGCTCGGGGCTTGCTGTGTCTAGACTTGCATGGAATCGTCATCCCCTCTCTACAGGACGGAAATGCTTCCTCCGAGCCGAGTGCGAAACCCAGCGCTGCGCCTTGGTCCCTGGGGGGAGGGTGAGAGTTGGCAATATATATAGAGGCCTTAATAATTGGAACAGGGCTTGGGTGGTATGATACTGTAGAAATATTCTAGTCATTAAGGCCCCTATATCATGGTTCAGAGCTGAGCATGGCATGTTGCGAGAAGGAGTGTTTCTAGCCAGACATCGAATGCACACAAACTGTACAGCGCTGCAGCTTCTTCCTGTCTAAGCCCCCATCCCCAACTGCCCTAACTGACCGAACTCTTAAAATTCAGAGGTATACCAAAATAGGGCCTCCGAATCTGACGAACTCTTAAGCCTCTGCTTGGAGGATCGTAGGACTTAGTAACTACACTTATAAGTACCTTAACTGGTGTTATAATCCACTTTTGGTATCGTTACCTTATTTAAAACTATATAGCTACTAAGTCCCATGAACCTCCAAGTGGCATGGCATCCAAACTTTGTCATCGTTGGGTAACATTTTACATCTTTATGGGTACTTCAACCCACTAAGGAATAAGAAATCACATTTTTGATCCTATCCCAACCATGAGCCCTAAACCCCTAAACCCTAAACCCTAAACCCTCATCCATGAACTAGCAAAGCATCTTCGCACCTCGGCTCCTGAAGCTTTTGAAGCTGAGGACTCGCCGGCTCCACCCGGCAAGCCTGCTGCCAGGGAGCCGACTGCAGAGCCGCCAAACAAGGCGCCCTGGTGTTTGGGGGGGTTCCTTACTATAACTATACTAAAATTGGGCCCCAAAACCCTACTCTAATTATACTAAGGCCCCTATATTAGGCACAGAATATTTCTGAGTTGGTTTTGTGTAAGCTTACTTAATTATTGGCCTGATTAGTGGATGCTTGCAGAGAGCGAAGGATGGAGCCAGAAACCTGCTTCCGCTCAGCCCAGTCCGGTAATCCCAGTGCTGTTCAGAGTTCAGAGCAGGTTGCAGTCAGAAGGCACTAGCACAACAGCAAAGGCTTGCAAACTGCCAATCTCTCTATATCCTTCTCGTTCCCAGCCTGCTCAACTCAGGACGAACCTGCTCCGCCTGGCGATCCTGCTGCCACCGAACCCAGCACAAAGCCAGCAACCGGTGTACCTTGCCCTATTGTGAGGTGGAGAAGTGAGGGCTGGAGTGTGCTTCGGCTCGAGTTGCAGGCGCAACGTTTGGAAGTAGCCAGCTCCATAAGCCCATCATTCATGAAGCCTTTCTTAAACGTGACGGAATCCGAAAGTTTGCAAATTAGCAAACCTGTGAACTCTTCCTTAGCAGGGGGTTGGGGTACTTTATTTCGGGCCCCTCTTTTGAGCTTCTGAAAATCGCCGCTTCTCTGCCGAAGCTGAGGATGCTCCTGCTCCACCCAGCAAGTCTGTCATAGAGCCGAGTGCAAAGCCACCAAGCCAGGTTCCCCGGTGCAACCAGTTCAGTGAGTTCAGACATCAGGGCTAATATACGGGCATATAGAGGTTCCTTGTGCGAGCTTGGTGTTACTTGTTATATGAAAAGTATACTATACCCCAAGAACCCTATTCTGATGATTCAGGCCCCATATTGGTCTTGTTCAGAAGTGTTTGTGGTATGCGGTGCTCAGCCAGAAGAGCCTGCAAGGACACCGCGGTTCCACACGGCCAACCTGCCACTCTTGATCCGAACACAAAGCCGCCAAGGGCAGCTCCCCGGCGCAATTGGATATTCTAGAGGCCCGAACAACTATATACTATGTAATGGTTTGCCAATACTGCTTCCCAGGGTTTTGTAATGTACCCTATGCTAATAGTTATTGCCCCGGCCTGGATATGACTTCGAAGCTAAGTCTTTGAACTTCATTTGCACATGGGGTTGGACGGGCTGGAAGCAGCCAAAAGGTGCGCAACCACTAGCTCCAAGCAGATGTGAAGTCTCCACCGGAGTGAAGACTTCGCAAAGCCGGCACGAAGCATCCCCCAGCCCACACCCAGAACCTCCATGCACCCTCTAATACGGCCGGAAATACCTGCCCCTAGGGGCCAAGGACTCCTGAAACCCCACACTCAGCATTTCTGTCCCAAAGTCGCTATGCAGCAAATCTTGCAAGGATGCACTTCTTCCAGACGGCCAGTCGGCTTCCCCTGAACCAAGCAAGGAGACACCCAAGAAGGTTGCTTGGCACTTGCGTGCTTCGGGTATAGGGTTCAGCGCTTTAGTTTCCAGCGTTTAGGGTTCTCCGGGGTTCAGGGCTTTAGTTTGCAGGGCTTAGCTCAATGTTGATTTAAGGTTTAGCTTCTGCAGATTTTGCGGCTTCAGTGTTCTAGCATGTACTTGAACCCCAAGAAACCTACATGTTTAGGAATCCTTACAATAATTTCCTTGCATAAGTCCTTAAACAGGAAAGTGCACGGGGGGTTCAGGTAAGGTACATAGAGGATCATGGGACTTAGTAAGTGGGTTATAATTAGGGCTATAATAATAAGTCCCATAAGTGGGTTATCCTAGTTATAACCTACCTATGACTTTATTACTTCATAAGTCCCATGATCCTCTAAGTATGCTTGGGACTTCGGCGCGGGGTGATGGGGAGCAGCCCAATGTGATCCCTCCGCAGGATGGGAGGCTCCAGCCCTAAGGGTCCGTGTGCCCAAATACGGCTCCAATAAGGGATCCATAAGGGTTCTATAAGGGTTTAGGGTGTAAGGGTCCATGTAGCCAACTAGTATATACTTTGACCCCAAAGTACCAACATGGACACATAACAACCCCAACAATTCCAACCTAACTCAGTTGTCATAGCAAAAAACCCCTTGATCCACAAGGCCAGGCTACCGTTAAAGAGCATCCCGCAATTCAACGTTATTATGGATCCATCTACCCATAGGCTCCATAGTAGTTCTTTTTTGTGGCTTAGATTTAGAATCCTAAAATAAGGAAATTCCAAAAAGGAACGACTATGGAGCCCTATGGGTAGAGCCCTAAATCTGAAACCCTATACACCCTAAACCCTAAAACCCTAAAACCCTACAACCCTAAAGCCCTAAACCCTAAAACCCTAAACCCTAAACCCTAAACCCTAAACCCCTAAATCCTAAGCCTCGCAAGGAACCTGCCAGAACGGAGCCCAGCACGAAAGTCCGGCACAGCGCTCCCTTGACTTTGTGACGGGTGAGAGGATTTTGTTCGAGGCTTTGGTTAATATCTTTCGGTTTTGATGCTGTTGGATTTGTTTGGGGCTGCGGTTTCGAATCCCTAGATCTTAGGATTTAGGGTTTCTGTTTGGGGTTGGGTTGCAGAGGTGACCAAGAGCATGTGAGCAGCGGAAGGATTACCGTCGACAGTGGTTCGTCCATCACGTGTTAGAATCATGGGTGAAGGGCAGACGGGCTGCTTGAAGAATTTGCAAACGGATCCCCTCATCGTCCCTACATACACCAGAATATTTTCTGACTCTTGAGATAGAGCTGAGGGCTTAGGACAAGTTAGGGACAGGAACCCCAAATGGCAATTAATAGCTACTGGGTCATTCTTCTGGCGACTTTTGGGGATTTCTGTAACATGGAGATCCAGTCGCACAGTTTGGCTTAAGGTTTAACTTGGCAGATGACGATATCAGGTTTGAGCATCCAACGCTTGCATGCATAAAGCCGAAGCCGAGCCCACTGAACTGGCTGGAGCTTCTATCCCAGAGTGGCCATTTGGGTAGTTCTCGACATTAGGGCCCCTTCATAGGGTAAGGCTTCGAAAAGGAGCATAATTTAGAGAACTACCCAGCCATTTTTTTTGCTTTCCAACACAGGCATCCCTCGGACCCTTTCTGCTGAATCCCCAACCCTGGTCGGCAAAATCTGTTGCAGCCATCAGTCTAGTCTGCAAGTGTTTGGGGTTTAAGGTTTAGGGTTTAGTGGTTTACTGTCGTGCGAGTCACATGGAGGTACGAGCGTACGAGGCTGAATCATCGGAATCTAGTTCTCCATCTAGGGTCCAGCATGCAGCAGATTGTAGCATACCAGCCCCCCCAAGCCTTATTCAAATCCGTATTGGGCTTCTACATGGAGACCGTGTAAACCCGCACACCACCGGTCCACTGTTTAGGATACAACACTTACACTTGATCCGTTCGAACCAAACCCCAGACTGTAGACTCTTAGGGTTTAGGGTTTAGGGGTTTAGGGTCTAGGGTTGGAGACAATCCTGAGAAGACCTTGAACCCCGAAGGGTGCAGACTGCGTGCTCTGACCCAAACCAAAGTAAAGCCGCTTCGACCCGCTAAATAAAAGCACTATGGGAATCCCAAACCCAGAACCGTAGATCCAAAACCCTGATACCTAGGCTCCTCAAGGGGGCATCCCTTCGGATGCGGACCTCGCCGACTGGAGGAAGCACAGTTCGGGGGCCCTTTCTGACAGTGGCTCCGCAGCACCAGTAGCAGCATAAGCAGAAGTGGTCGTCGTCGCCGACGTCGTCGTCTTGATTTTGCTTCGGCTTCTTCTTCTTCTTCTCCTTCTTCTTCTTCTTATTCTTTGTTGTTGTTGCTGTTATTCGCAGCTCCTGCTCTTCTACCAACTACGTCGTGTTTTACGCGTGCGTTCGATCGCAGCCACTGCTGCTGTACATTTTGCGAAATGTTTACGACTGGTTTGAACCAAAAGCTTTAGACAGCCCTGTCAGGGGGTCTAGGTCTAGAGCCCCGTGACTATGTACAAGCCATACTCACGGAGTCCGGGGCCATTGCCCAAAACACAGGTGCACGACCCGTCCCTGAGTCTGCACCGCTGGTCGTGGCATGACGGCAGGGGCTCGGCGGTTTGCTTATGATTTGCCGTTGTTGATCGTTGTTGTATTGGGGATGAAGGCTTAGGGTTGAGAGTCTTGTGCGTCCTCGGATTGGTGAGCAAGCAGTTTCCTTTTTCGGCTTAAACTGTTTCAGGCTGTGTTTGATCTGAACTGTAGAATATTTATTTCCGGAGTGTGCATTTCTGGGTGTTCTTTGGTTGTTGTCTTTGGCATCCGCAGAGCCTGTCCTGTCCTTGAAGCTCACGACGTTCTTCCTGGTATTTCGAGTATGTTCGTATGTTCTGGTGCCCTCTGTGGAGCCCTCTAAAGCTCCCATGGGTTACAGTGTTCATGGACTTCCAGATACTTCCCGTAGGTGCTGGTATCATGAAGGAAGTGACATGTCCTTGAACAGCAAAACCACTAGCGGCCATGAATGGAAGGGGTGTTTCAACCCATACGACTACCTGTGAAAACCTTGCTAAGACCAGCACCTGTGTTTGCACTCCATCGTTGGAGTATGCAGCGAATTCTGAGCTGAACAGAGGAGTGTTTGGTAGGTTCCTCGGAGAAGGCGGATACACCCTAAACCCAAACCCCCATAACCCTAAACCGCGCCCCTGAACCCTAAACTCCAAACCCCCAAACCCCTAAACCCCAAACCCCAAACCCCAAGAGCTCGAGCGACTCCCTGAAACCGTGTGAGATGTTCGGACGAAGAGCAGCTTTTGGACGCATGAAACATTGAAGGGTCTAGGGTTCAGGGTTTAGGGTAACCTGTTGCCCCTTTCAGTTTAGGGTCTCTGGGTGGACCGCCGGGATATTTAATGTGTTCGTCGTTTTGTGTGTCTTCCACTGTGTGTTGCTTTGAGTTTGTCTTTGTCCAGTTTTGTCAAAGTTCAAGGCCCCTCGCTTTGAGACACGAACATGACACGACATGACTGCCGTTGAGCAATATGCATTAGAAGCTGCCCCCACCCTGTAATAGTGGTATAATAGGAATATAGTAGGGCCCTAATATAATCCTTATAGTCACTATTACAGGGTGGGGGCCCCTTCTAAAGTATGCAGGGCTTCGCGGGCTGAAGAGGTTTTTCGGGCCCGAGGGTTTGACCATCATCGGGAAGTTCCTAGATTTGCCTGACTAGGATGACCAGTGGTGCCTCCCCACTGGTGTACCGGTCAGGCTTCACGAGGATGTTGCAGGGTCGACACAGTTTTGGACCCTTCAAGGGTGGGTTATTGACCCGGAAGACCTCAAGCGTGGTACCTTCACCATTAAACGTAGTTCCACGAGGGGTCCGACGTGTACATTTGGTTTGGGCCCGACAGCCCTGGGGTCCAAGCTAGCAAATCCCTAACCCCTTACCCCCCAAGCCCCGCCATACCTAAACCCAAACTAATCACCAAAACCCCGTACACTGTCCCAATGCACCCCCCTGACCCTGAAAACTTAAACCCCAAGCCTTCAAGCCCCTGGTAGCCTTATTTTAAAGGGGCTACTCAGGAACGTAGTGAAAGATATTCTGGCTTCTGAAACCATGTCACTCTCTGCATCAAACGGTTCAGGCTTGCAGCCCTTAACCGTAAGCCCTCAACCCTAAATGAAAACTAGACCCTAAACTAAACTCTAAACCCTGCGCCCTAAACTAAATTTTTAAGAGTTCTAAACCCTTAAAACCAAACTCAACTCTAAACCCCTCAAAACCCTAAACTAAACTCTAAGAGAGCCCGAGCTTTAGCCAAGGCCAGCTCCTCTACGGCACCGAAGGCTCCGCCGGCAGCTTCGCCAGAATCTCCTGAAACCGCTCGGCGGCTTGGCCAGTTGTTCTCAGGTCTTGGGGTTAAGTGGTTGCGGTATAGGGGTTTAGAGGTTTAGGGTATAGGGTATATCTGGTTTCTCGGCATGCTTCGGAAGGTTGGAGGTTTAGACTTTGGGTTTATTCTTGTCAGCTTGCCAGTTGTTAGGCTGGGATTTGCCCGTGCTCATCTTGATGCTTTTTTCGTGGGTGGTGCACCGACAAAGGCCCTCAAGGCAAGCACTCAAGCAAAAGCGCCAAGACGGAGAAGAGAATGAGGATGATAAGAAAAATAGGGAAAGCACGGAGGAGACTAGCACGAGCCAGTTCTGGACAAGGAAGGAAAGCTGTGAGGAGCAAATGGGTCAGTGGTATTCATCCACACCTCTTCTCAAAAAGTCCTGCTTGCCAAAACTCCGCAGCGCCCTATAATCGTGATGGCTTCTCCTAAATACCTACGTAGTCGTTGGAGAACATCGGGTTTTGGATGCACTACTATTATCCCACTAAACCACTAAACACGTCGGGATGCAAGATCAGCGAGGGCTTGCCCAGCGATGCTCAAATCTTGAATATGCCGGCTCCAGAACACTTTGGAGAGGACCTCCCTGTGAACGTGGTTGCAACATAAGAACTGTCTCACCCTCCGAGGCATGATCGGAGCCAGGAGTTTCAGAAAGCGGACATGCCGAGGCATCTTTGGGGATGAGGGTGCAGGGCTTCAGAAATGCTTATGGGGGGGGGGGGGTTCAGGTTCAGGGTTCTGTCACTGTTTCAACACTACAGAGGCTCATCACGATAATCGGAGGACATCGGCACCAGACCCTGCTTTTGCCTGCCTCGCAACCATGATGTTCGTGATGTTGAAGGCAGACATTACGCTTGACCTTAGGACTTCACCAACGGTGCTGCAATCAGGTGTGCAGCCTTGTAAAGGCTCAGGCCATATTCGGGGAAATCCAGAAGGCCTTCTTGCCTCACAACGCCATGGGACAAGGACAAGCAAGAGAGGGAGATCGCTGCCGTGTGCCTGGATGCACACAAAAGCACTCCCGTCACTTCTGCGTGGCATGTCAAGCGGAAGACTCCGATCATCCTATGAACCAATGCGAAAAGCGGCACGACATGAGGCTATATCACGGAACGACTCGCAATGTGGCGGAGAAGATTCTCAAGGAAGGTATCAAGGAGAGCACCGATGGGAACCTTGGCAGAGGGGTTTACTTCGTGCATTCCTTCGAGATTGCCAAGGCGATTGGCAGTGCGGACGGCAGAAGGCAGGACTGGGCAGTGGTCGAGTCTTGTTTGCAAGGCAAACGAGTTGTCGGATTTGTGGTTGTTTCGATGGGTGTTGTAATATCCTGTTTGCAGAACTGTTGGTCCACTAGCCACTGTCAAAACAAGGAGTGCAGGGTGGATCTGGGCCGATGCAAGAGTGGTTATGAAGCGAGCACGCCGGACAGTACGTGGCACAGTGACTACGACTCCGTCTACCGACGCCATGGACCATGGCGGGGCAGGTACCAAAAAGAGTTCAGAGAGTTTACGTGCAAGCCTGAGCAAGTTCTTGAGGTGTGCACGGCATACTGGGAGGGAGGCCAGGGCTGTCCAAGTACCTGGCCCTTGCTTAGAGGGTTTGGCACTTTGTTGCCATCCGCGTTCCTAACCGCCGTCCTCGAAGATGTCGCACCGGGTTTGTTGCGAGATGGCCCAAGCACTCTTTTGTTCCTTATCTTGTGGTCGGTTAGCTTCAAAAAATTCAGACGAGTTCCAAGAGGATTGCGGCAGTGATGTCCCGACTGTGCGGCAGTGATGTCCCGACTGTGCCGTGCTCCCCTGTTTTGTATATATATATATATATAGATGCATTCGGCAACACAAGCTTGCGAGCTCTTTACATCATTGGGCGCTCGCTTGCGGCACTAAAAGGATTGTCGCTGATTCGTGCAGGTTATACACTTGACGAATATCTCAAAACGAAGTGCTTCTTCTAGGTTCCTATGAGAAACAGAGGTATTGCTATAGCATGGCATACTATGGGAATAATATGCTTTCATAAATAATACATATTGCAAAGCTGATTCCTTTGTTTTCCTTATTTAAATTAAAGCATGAACTACCACAAAACCCTGCTCCCCCATCTGATTTTGGTGGCTTCCCATGCTTTGAAAGACATCTGCGCTTGGTCGAAACCGTCAGGAGACTGAAAGACAGAGAGAGAGAGAGAGAGAGTGTGTGTGTGTGTGTTTTGGCAGCCGAAGAGACATTGACCGAATCATAAATAGTCAAAAAGCATACAGCAACATGTACATGCGAAGGGTGTTGTGGAATTGGACAGTATAGATTATATTGTCATATGCAAATTGCAATGTATTCAGAATATGTAACTAGATAGCTACCGGTATATAACATGATAACAAAATAAGCCGCAGCATCCAGTCATTTCCACTTTGGCGGAAGGCTGCGAGCTTGCGGATTTTCAATCTTCGCAGTTTGTTTCTTCCGGTTTTCAGGGCTGAGGCTTAAACTGTGAGGGTCCTGCGTCTTCTGGGCGCTGCTTCTTTTAGCTTTGTTTTTTTAGGGATCTTCGACTTCCGGGTCGAGGTCGGCGATTAGGGTCGCCGAGTTTAGGAGGTTGTGCTCTTGGTCTGTTTACTTTTTCAACACGCCAGGGCATCCTCTGACGCTGCTGCACCCAACCCGTTGCAGAACGAGGCCACTGCACACCTTCTCGGGGCTTGGGTTGTCGAAAACGTAACCAACTCGGCCCATAAGCCATCAGAGCTGAATGCTGGCGCAACCCTGTACTCTACTTCGACCAAGGTCGCGGCCAATGTCGAAGGTTGCAGGGGCCTGATTGCATGCTTTCCACCAATTTCTCCTCAAAGTTCCTGAATATGAGCATACTATAAAGCATACACCAAACATACACCAACAAAGCTGCTCTAATCATTATGAAGATTGTGCCGAGGTTCCTCAGACGTGCATGATAAGCCCTAGCACCAACCCCTAAACCCGTAGACCCTGTAGCCTGGAACTCCAAGTTCTAGACGAACAGGCACAGGATCCATCCACGGGCATGTAGAAGCACGCTGCAAGAAGAAAGCTGGAGTAACGAGGCCAGGCGATGAGCGAGACGCCACAGGTAAAGCCCAATCTACAGCCTACACATACTACAAAGCACCCTAAACTAAGAGTTAAATTCCGAAGACCTCAACTTCAACCCGAAAACCAAGAAACCAACGCCGGCACGAACGGAAGGACGATAGCGAGTCCAGTTCGGAGGAGAGTGACTCCTCCGGTGGCGGCTGGCCTCAACTCGTGTTTAGGGTTGAGGGATTAGGGTTTTGGGTTTTAGGGTTTAGGGGTTTAGGGTCTAGGGTTTAGGGTTTAGGGTTTAGGGATTAGGGTTTTGGGGTTTAGGGTTTAGGGTCTGTTGTATTGCGTTTGTGTGTCTTGTCTTTACGGGGACAAGGGCACTCCAAAGGTAGGGTTGTTTTCTTTTGGTTGGTGGGAGTTGAGGGTATTTACGGCTGCAGGATATGGAGGCGCGACGGAGGGATTGCATGCTGTGGGGCTTCTGCCCACCGAAGCAAAGACTTCATCCTTAGCTGCGTGACACTATGTAACCCCAAACCTCAAACCCTGAAACCCAATGTTGCTACTCCGTTTCGCTTCAAGACATCTCCTATAGGCTGGCCCTACATGGTTTTGAAGGGAAGCCTAACCTAAGCTTGTCTAGGCCACAAGCTCCTCCACTCCTGGCCATGCGAGCCCATCCAGGCTGTGAGAGTTCAAGCCAGCCAGATCGGCCCTGACTCGTAAACCACGAAGCCCCAAGCCCGACATCGCTAGCTGATTCCGAAACGTTTACATGAAGTCAAAATGAGAAGCCTGCTCAATTATCAAGGCGCCTGTGATTGAACCGATCGCTAAGAACCTCCAACACTGAACCCTACCTATAGTCTTCATTGCAGTTCCTTATTTTTGCTAGCCAAGTTTTGTGGTTAGGATCCTAGAATGGAAACCTGTTTTGAAAAAAGAAGCTACAATGGAGACTATAGGTGCACCCTGCTACGGTTGATGATATAAATCCTGCATTACCTTAAGGACCCTAAGCTATGGGAATTATGCAACCGTAGTACGAGCACTCTTGCCAAGGCTCAGCACCATCGGCCCCTCCCGAGAATAAGCCGAAAGATCTGCACCAAGCGGAGGCCGCAGCTTTGCAGAGTTAGTCTTAGGGGTTTAGGGTTTAAAATTTAGGGTTTTAAGGGTTTAGGGTTTTTAGGATTTAGGTTTTATGGCTTTTTGGGGTTTAGGGTTGTTAGGGTTTAGGGGTTTGTGGCTTATGGGTGTATTTTTTTAGCCTTAATAATTAGAACAGGGTTTTGGTGCCCATTAGTCTATAATTCCAATAAGGAAGCCCCAAAATAGTGTAGGTACTTATTAAGGCTTCGCGTTCAGGGTCAATTAACTAGGGCTTGGGGTTCGGGGTTTCGGGTATGGGTTTGAGGTGGGTTCAGGATTTACGCACGTTCATTTACCGGAGTGGGCATATTAAGGGTTCCAGTGGTAGTGTAGCGCCCCCAAGACCCTATTCTGAGTTAAGGCAACTCACTAGGGTTTCAGGAAAGTTCAAAAGTAGTGTAGGCCCGGCATTAGCTTTCAGAATTGCGGGTGTCGGGTTTATGCATGGTTTTGGTGTTCAACTGTCGGTAAATTCTTTGGGGGTTTTGGAGTTTTGCGATGAGCGCTCGGGACCTGATGATTCGGATTCGGGGCTCAGGGTTGAGTTTAGGGTTTATAGGGTTTAGGGAGGTCAGGAGCCATGGTCATCAGTGAGGTATTGTACCTTGATGCTGACGGACTACGTCGGGCCTGTGGACGAGCGCCGGTATACACCGGAAACAAAGGCCTGAAAGCCCTTAAGCCCTAAACCCTCCAACCCCTACACCCAGAGCCTGAATGGCCCTAAATACACACTTTACACCCTACAAGCCCGAACCCCTAAACGCCGAACCTCTTGAACCCATAAACCCCTAAGTCCTTAAACCCGAAACCCAGTCTAGACCCCCCAACTACCCCCTAAAATACTCTAAATGCCCACTATTAACGGCCATAACAGCTCCATTAAAGGGCCATTGGGGGATCCTGGAGAAGCCTGAACCCATAAAAGCTGAATTCTAAACCCTCCGAAACCCAGAACCTTGAACCCAGAGCCTCCAAAACCCCTTAATTAAGGAATATACCCTAAATTATATTAGGGATCCTATTATAGTTTAAGGTATATATTCCTTAATTAAGGGGTTTTGGAGGCTTTGGGAAGGGCCCCAGCTGCCACCGACAGCGCTCCAGCGGCTATCCGCAAATCTTTGCCCGACCGGCCTCTGGAGGCGCCTTTTCGGTTCAGGGTTTAGGATTGAGTGTTTAGGATTTAGGGTTGGGGGTTTAGGACTGAGGTTGAGGGTTTAGGGTTTAGGACTGAGGTTGAGGGTTTAGGATTGAGTGTTTAGGATTTAGGGTTGGGGGTTTAGGACTGAGGTTGAGGGTTTAGGGTTTAGGACTGAGGTTGAGGGTTTAGGGTTTAGGACTGAGGTTGAGGGTTTAGGGTTTAGGACTGAGGTTGAGGGTTTAGGGTTTAGGGCAGTTTAGGGTTTTGGGGTGTAGGGTTGAGGATTTAGGGTTAAGGGTTGAGAGTCTAGGGTTTAGGGTTTCAGGGTTTTAGTTGGAGCTGAGAGGTTTGATTTATGGGAGTTAATTGTAGGCTTCAGGGTTTGAGAGTTTGGGGTTTGAGTTTACGGCTTCGGTGGGCGGGAGGGGGGGGGGGGGGGGGGGGGGGGGGGTTGAAGGTTTGCAAGTTAAGGCTAATACACGCTTTACGGGACTTCGAGGGTTGTGCATGGTTTATGGGGGTTCATAGTGCTTTCCGGGTGTATAAGGTTTTTTGGGGTAGGGCTGGATAGGATTCGTCCGTTGTCATACGGTTAGGCTTTGAAGATTTGGGATGCAGGGGTAGGGTCTAGAGTCTAGAGGTTCGGGGTACTTTTATGCGTGCCGGCATCAACTGTAGTGGTGTCCTCTTACGTACAGCACTCATAGTACTATACCAAAATAATGTGCCAAACACGTGCTCCTTTTGATTATGAAGGCCCCTGCAGTAAGTGTGACAGATGTGTTTGTTTGGTAAGTGTGCGGCGGCCGTCCCCCGGGTTTGTTCAACCCAGCCCTAAACCCAAACTGTAAACTAAATGCCTAGATCAGAACCATTAATTAACCCCCAAGCCTTAGAAACCCCAAAACTCTAAACTGCAGATCCTATCTAGACCTCGCATCCTGCGCCCGCCTAACCCTACTTGGGGGATCCTGGGACTTAGTAAGTAAGGTTATAAGTACCTTAACTGGGATTATAAGTATAGTTACCCTATAACCCTAGTTACTAAGTCCCATGATCCTTTAAGTATATGTAAACCTTGACGTCTCCAGCTTGTCGCAGGCGCCCCGTGCCGGCAGCCTGCGCCTGGGTAACGGCCCGATGCGCGCCGGGAGTTTGTCCTTCAAAGGGACTCCCAAAGCGTCCTTTGGTTGAGAAGGGCTTTGGGCATTTGGGGGTTGAAGGGTCATAACCCAGAGAGCCCAATACCCCTTAATTAAGGAATGTAGTTTGAATCATAATATGAGGCCCCTTATAATTTTAAGGTATGTTGCTCAATTAAGCCGTATTGGGCCTCTGGACAGGGTTTGAGGCTTTCGGGTTTAAGGCGTTTTAGGGTTTATGTTCAGGGTTTAGGACCCAAAGGAAGGGTTTCGGGCATACCGCGCTTGGTGCTAAGGGGATAGTACATACATGTTCTTTTAGGGTTTAGTTTTATGTATATGACATGTACATCGGCAGACAAACATGTAACTGAATAAGTAACTTGTCGACCAACGTAGTCCGAAGCGCACAACCAGAAAGCCTAAACAGCATAGGCTTCAGATTTCAGATCTGATTCCCTAAACCCCAAACCCCCAAAATCCCTAGACCCTAAGCCCTGAACCACAAGGTTGTCTTGTTTTCGGATAATTAGTTGGTTCCTCAAAAATGTAGTTTTGCTTCTTTCTCTACCGTTAATCCCCTTATCTCCGCCCGCCTTCCGAGGTTTGCGCGTCCCTGAAGGGGACCGACCGCGCAGGGCGGCTAGCAGGGTTTGTACATAGTTGAAGTTATGCAATTGGACCGTATTCGGCTTCGGTTCTCAACAATGAAGGGCGAGTTTCGAGTCTCCAATGGATTCTTTTCGAGGATTTTATAGGCATGACCTATGAACAAGGAGGTGTCATGAGTATTGTAGAAACATGTACAGACCCTGCTTCGCTGCCTGTACCGTTAATGAGTTTGGCTCCTTGGCGGCTCTTGGAAAAAGCGGCAACAGGATTTAGAGGTTCAGGGGCCTAGGGTTCCTTGGAAGTGATATGTCTATGACATCTGGTGTGGACCCGCAAGGAGAAACACATGACATGTAGATACATGTAGTATAGGAGCCTGATTAAGAAACCCTGCCTCTAGGGTACTTTATATGGGAGTTTCCGAAAATAGGGGACCCTAATATGGTACCCTAAATAGTAGGATCCTTATTATAAGGAACCACAAATAAGGTACCCCTAATTTTCGGAAACTCCCATATGAATCCTACTATATTGGGGTTAGAGGGCCAGGGTTTCCTAGTCAGGTTCCTACATCAGCTCAAGACTCCGTCAAGCCTGTTGCTTTGAGGTCGACTGTAGAGGGTTGCCCCTCCGACATGTCCACTTGTGAAGATCGCAACTCTCGTCTGAGAGCCCCAACCTTTAAGTTTTACCTTTTTGTTTAGGGGTTTCGGGTTTAGGCTTTTACCCAGCCTTTAAGTTTTGAGGGGTTTAGGGTTAGTAACCTGTCTTTCCATGCGCTGTGTTTCGAAGACCACACCGCCAAACCCTGAACCCTCAACCCTCCTCAGGACCCACACACGGCATTTGTGCTGAGCCCTTTTAACAGTTTTCATGTCATCGAGTTTGTATATGTAGATTATGCATATACACGATAGAGCTAGTGTTGCTTAGACCCTCTGTCTGTCAGTGCCCCATTATCGATATGCCGGAAACTTTGCCTATTATCGGATTTATAAGAGCCAGAAACACTCTGTTCTGGAGGTTAAGGTTGTGTGAGATTTTATAGGGTGTCTGAACAAATAGAGCAGGTTCTATTTGTGTTTTTGGTGGGGGGCGGCGGGCGGAGGGGGGGATGCTAAAGAATCTGAATTGCAAGCCCGCCGCAGGTGCTCAACACCTCACCCTTCTTTGGCCAAGTGGCTTCTGGACAGGTCGCCACCTCAGCAGATCAATCGTCTGCCATGTTCGAAGGTTTTGGGCTGGCGCAGTACCGTTTTAACGACGGCCATAGCAGCCAGAATCAGAAAATCGCTGCAATGCTGGTGAGGTCTTCAAACGTTGCGTCTATAGAGACATCATATGCGACATGTTCGTATGGCTCCCTGAGGCACGCACCATTGGCCTTGCTCACTTATACTACTTCCTGCAATCTGGTGTACTGCTATACGCCAAATACACACCAAATGTCCGCACTTTCAGGTTCGGTAACGATTGTCTATACATATCCATGTCCTCCTGAACCAGACAGCTCCACTCCATGGTGGCGCATGGCAACTATACATGTTCTAATCTAGCTGTGGTTTGGCGGATCAGTCTTCCTGTCCTTGAGGCGCAAAGCTCGCCGACAGTATCCTCACAGAGGCCGCGTTTGTGCGCTAGCTGGACCCTTTCGCCTGCATTGCCCCGTACTAGTCCCTAGATGATTACAGTAGAATATGCAGCCAAAGCCTAACTCCAACGTCCAAGGCCCCTACAGATTCTTCAGTGCTCTCTTCCCCCACCTTGAACCCTAAACCCGAAGCCCCGAACCCTAAAGCCTAAACCCTTACTCCTAAGCCCTAAATCCTAAGCCCTAAGCCCCAAGCTCGAAGCTCTAAACCTTGAACCTTGGACCTGAAAGCTCCATGGCCTCCACACTGAGGGCTCCGGAGTTTGCATCACCACTGGGCCGCGAGTGCGTTATTACAACCTTCGGGACCACGTAGACCTGAAAAGTAGGCTCCGAAAACCCTTTGTACTATGAATCGGTATGAGGTAAAGTGGAGCTACAACCCGTTTGGGGTCAGTTTCGAGAAGCTCTAGATGCGAGATCCTTTTCAGATGCCAAGGATCCCCGAAACCCTCATGTAAGACGCCGGTAGAACCCTCATACACAACCCTTAATGGTAGAAAACGTACCCGAAACCCGCTAAGCCCTAAACCCCTATAACTATAACTAAAAGACCAGGGTGGTTGCCTCGCCGGGGATTTTCAGCAGCATCTTGCTTACCAGGCAGAAGGCGCTCAAAACAAAACAAAACCTCAACCCTAAACCCTGAAATGGGAGTTTCCGAAAATAGGGGACCCTATATAATATGGTATCCTAAATAGTAGCGTCCTTACTATCAGGTTCCCAAAATAAGGTACCCCTATTTTTGGAAACTCTACACCCTAAACCCTTTTTATCCCTTCAAGGATCCAAACTCAACCCTCAACCCTGAACCCCAAACCCTAAACCCTAAACCCCAAACCCTAAACCCTGAACCCTCAACCCTGAACCCCAAACCCTAAACCCTAAACCCCAAACCCTAAACCCTGCACCTGAACCCTCAACCCTGAACCCCAAACCCTAAACCCCAAACCCTAAACCCTTATATCGAAGCAGCCAGGGATGCCCAGAAGAACCTGCTGGTGGAGCTCGGACTCGCCTACAGCGGACTCGAGGGCTTCTCGGTGGCTACCCAGACACCCCAAAAACAAAATCCAAACAGTAGCTCCCTTGTAAGGGTTCCTTAAAGGGCCCCTTTAAGGGATCTATAGGGTTTTACGGTTTAGTATTTAGGGTAGATCCCTTAATGGGGGTTCCTATGAAGTAGCCTTAGTAGTATAGGTCCCCAAATTAGGGGATCTAGTAGCTCCCTTAATGGGGGTTCCTATGAAGTAGCCCTAGTAGTATAGGTCCCCAAATTAGGGGATCTACTTTCGAGATCCTGCCGGGGGTCTGGGTACAGGGACAACCCCACAGCGTTTTAGGGTTTGGGGGGTTGGGTTTAGGGTTTAGGAACCCCCCAAAAATTTGGCACACGCATTAAAGCTTGATTGGGGTTTAGGGTTTAGGCACCCCAGAAAGTTGGAACATGGATCAAGGCTTGATTAAGGATGGTTGGTGCTGGGATTAGGGGCATGAGGACAATGACGGTCCAACCTTCTGGCGTCTAGTTTTGTCTTTTCTCGCATAATAAGGTCCATTTTGTGTTTTTGTCCTCTTGTGGCCTTGGCATTTAGAGTTTAGGTTTTGGGATTTCGTCTCGGGGATTGCGATGTTTGGGGTTTAGGGTGAGAGTTGGAAGTTTTGAGGCCCTCCATAGTAGACCATGATGCTTTCCTCTACACCGCGAAGAAGGCCCCTAAACCTTGCAACTCTTCTGGAACCCCTTTTGCAAGTTTTGTGGCTCCGACACTTCTTGAGGCCTTCCATCAAGCTTGAATCCTGTATCCTAAACCCTCAAACCCTAAACCCTAGCCAGAAAACCCCAAACACCCTAGGATGCCCAGTATAGCCCTTATTCCCGGTTCTAGGTTCCTTAAAAAGTTACCCAATACCAAAAAGGGAGCCCTTTCCTAGAACCCCTAAACCCCTTAAACCCCTAAACCCTAAAGTCCTAAACCCTAAACCCCTAAACCCCTAAATGTTACTAAACCCTAAGACCCTAAAGCCGTCCAGGCTTCGATGAAGCGGCCTCTGTGGGCCAGGCACAGCTGGGCACGCAGATGCTCGGAGCCCCTGGAGAGCTGGTGCAGTAAAATTAGGGGGTCGGTTTTGGGTCGGAGATTTACTTGTGGGATTTGGGATTTGTTGGTGTTTCTACAGGTATTCATAAGAGTGTAGTTGCGGGACGTTTGTATTTACACCGCTGTTTTGAAGAATTTGGGGTCGGAATATGCAGCAATATCATCCTGGGAATCTAAACTTTAGCTATGGTGGGTTCCGGGCTGGAGCATTGTTGGTTCAAAGGGGTTGAGGTGCAAGTCTTGCTGTTAGTATTGTCTGGTGGTCCTGAAGGATTAATAATATAGGGGTCTTAATAATTGCCTATACTATTTTGTGGGGTCCTTAGTGTAAATACAGTAGAATATAGCCCCAAGCCCTATTCTAATTATTAAGGCTCCTATATTGTAAGAACCCTACCATAGATCCCCTGTAGACCCCTTTTAAAGGCACCCTGTAAGAGGAACCCTACTCTAAATTACGAAGGCCCCTACATTATTGTCCTACGCCTCAAAGAGGATCGATGTCAGAAAAAGGTGATACCCGACATCCCTTTAAAGGGAACCCTACTCTAATTACGAAGGCCCCTATATGATTGTCCTACGCCTCCGACATACACCAGAGAGCCCAATATCCCTTAATTAACGAATATGCCTTAACTCATATTAGGCATCCTATTATAATTTAAGGTATATTCCTAAATTAAGGGGTATTGGGCTCTCTGGGTACATCAGCTACTCTTTGCTCGGTTCGACGAACTCTTGGTCGCACAGATACGACCAATACGGAGGTGCATCAGCTACGCCCCGCAACCCGTGAACCCAACCCTAACCCCGAAGAACCTACATTTTTAAGGACTTATACACAGAAAATCATAAGCGGAAGACTAAAAAGGTGGGTTACTCAGGGTTAAGGAAAACCCTAAACCCTGAGTCCTCAACCCCGAAGGTTACACTACTGCAGGCTGGGGCAAGTGTGAGCACGAAACGCTGTGTAGGCCTCAAGATTAGCTTGGCTCGTGACTCCCTAAACCCTAAACCCTGAACCCCAAACCGTAAACACTAACTCCCTAAACCCTAAACCCTCAACCCTAAACCTGAACCCCCCAAACCCTAAACCCTAAACCCCCAAACCGTAAACCCCGAATCCGCCAAAGGCAGAGCCAGCTGAAGAACCTGCTGGATATCGCTGCAGACACCCCTCGCGTTCCGGCGCCAATTACTATAGGGGCCTTAATAAGTAGAATAGGGTTTTTGGGGCCCACTATACCATAACTAG